CCTTCGTGAGTTGTACTTCTCTCTCCAGCAATTCTCTTCTGGTTTCCCCTTCGTGCAGTTGCTCTTGTAGACTTCGAATGTCGAGATTAAACCTGCCCTGCTGCTGCGTCAAATTCTCATTGTACTGTACCTCGAGTTTTTCCACTTCTGCTTTTAACCTATTGATCTCTTGCGTCGCCAGGGCGTGATTCGCGCTGGCGTCGTTTCCGAGAGAACGTTGTCTGATCTTCTCCGTTTCCTCTTGCATCTGCTTGCAATATTCCTCACTGCGCTCTCGTAGTTTCCTTTCCTTGCTAGTCTCCGCCATCGCTTCGTCGACTCTGTTTTCCAGCTCTCTGCGCAGCTTCTCGGCTTTTCGAATGTCGTGGCGTAGACTGTCGACTTTCTGCATTACAACCTCCAATTCCTCTTCCTTATCTCGAACCTGCCGCGATAATTTCTGCTTCTGTTGTCTCAAATCGGATAACTTGTCCGATACTTCCGTGTACTCCGCCATCGCAAGTTTACGCTGCGTGAGCGCGTCCTTTAATTCCTTATCTTGAAGTTTCAGTTTCTCCTGCGCATCTAATTTGTCTTTAATGGCTTCCTCCTTCTCCAAGCGCAAACATCGGACTAATTTCTCTAATTCTCGAAACTTCGTCATATCGCCGTTATCTAATGTTCGTAACTCGCGTGGAACATCCATAGATTTCAGTTGCGACTCCAATTCTATACGAAACAAAAAATCTTACGTCAACATCGGTCAAGATCGGGAAAAAAGTATCACGTGCGTGTGAATCAATCGATACGATAAAATCTTACCGCAATTGCGTTTTGTGAGTGTATTTATTTCGTCACGGAGCTTTCTCGTTGCATTATTGGAATCGGGAGAGACATCGGGCGAAGCTATGCCCAAATTTTTCATGTCGTCGATAGTTTGGATCAGTCGGGCATTCTCTTCCTCGAGTATTTGCACGTGTTTGTCCTTCTGGGATAGAGCGGAGATACAACCCAGGTCCGATATACAACTGCAACAGCAAGGATTTCGGTGTCATAAGTGAGTATATTACTGACGAAGTATATTAATAATCGATATCATATTTGTGAACAATGTCAATATTGTTGAACAAGAAACATGAGTTTCATACCTCCCCTGTGTGAAACTAAAACCGACAAACGGCAGATGAAGCGCGGAAAAGGCAGAATTTGCGGCTGGCGGAACGGCGTCGGAAGTGCGAACGTCGGTATCGTCTACGTCGAAATTGGACGTGTCACTGGGCGATGAAACTTCAGGAATGTACGGCGCGGTGCTGTCTCTCAAAGTATCCCAATTAACTCCGTCGAACCAAGGATGTTTCTAACATTCAAGATGCATATTAGAAACGGGACTGGCACACGTATGAAATAACAATGACGGAACAACGCAGTGCGTAAGACACACCTTGAAGTCGTCGATTCCGTTTTGGCCTAGTCTAAATTCAGAGCTGCAAATCAGCTTTCGCATCAGATCTTTGGCTTCTTCGGAAACATCGTACATATCGTCCGTAGGAAAGTCAAAACAATTCTGCAAGTGTAAGGAGAACGTAGTGAGAGAGGAGATATAAACGATCGACGAAGATTTTATATCTCTTTTCGATGGAAACTTTGATAAAAGTTTGCACGTCCTCCTAGCACTTTTCCACTTTTCTACCACTCGAGAATGATCGCTTAATTATGTAAAAAAGATGCAAGATCACGTATCGACGGATATGATATAATATCGGGAGATTTACCTTGTGATTCATAATCTTTCCATAAGTTTCGACTAGAGATTCTGCATAGAAAGGTGTCTCGCCGTACAGCATTTCGTACATACACACTCCGAGAGACCACCAATCGCATTCCGGACCGTACTGCCCCTGACCATCCTCCATCGCCTAGCAAACACATGCGAAGCGATGATGCATATGATAACAGTATATCACGTCATATGGAGTTCTTTTTACACAATTGTAAACACGATGTACGCGAGATGAAAAATTACCCTCAATATCTCCGGTGAAATATAGTCCGGGGTGCCGACCGCGACGTTACTCTGTACCGTTCCATCTTCGAACAGTCGTAAGCAGGAGCCGAAATCAGCCAACCTGATGTGACCGTTCGCGTCCAATAGAACATTGTCGGGCTTAATGTCACGATGTACATAGCGCAAGTCATGTATAGAACCTATAGCTAGCACCATTTCCGCTATGTAAAATCGAGCCATGTCTTCGGGGAGACGATCCTCAAATTTGCTCAATAACGTCAATAAATCTCCGCCGCAGTAGTAGTCCATGACCAGATACTGTATAGACATAAGGGGAAAAGGGGGATCAGTTAGATCCACGTTGATCACGCATTCGATGTTATCGCCGCTGAATAACGCAAATCGATATCAGTTACCAAGTTATTGTCATCTTGAAAGGCATAATGCAGGTTTGTGATCCATCTGCGATCACCATATACTAATACATCCCTTTCTTCCCTGAAGCAAGCGGTTTCAGCACGCTTTAACATCTCCCACTTGTTCAAAATTTTCATGGCGAACACCTTGTCCGAGCCACGCATTCTTACGACGCATACTTCCCCGAAAGCACCTCTACCGATGACCTTCACAATTTCAAAGTCCTCCCGCGTTAATTGCAAGCTCTTGATGCATGAGGCTATCGGTTTGACTGCAAAGAACCAATGATGCAGCCGGTATAATCGCTAATTGAGTATACTCGATACATAATGCTCAGACTTTCGCGATATAAAGGAATACTTGATTTGGATTCCAAACAACCAAGTTTGTGGTTTATTTCCAAACAAATCCTCAGAGAACGCAGCACCAATCCCGAAATCCAGATCAAACATTCAATATATGTATAACATTGAAAATTGAAGCAAACATTATAGTGAAATCTGAACGTTCAAGAACAAGTGCATACCAAACTCGATAAAGTCGGAAACAGTCTTTTCGCGACGTAATGAAGAATTGCAGCATTCGTCATATAACACGAGCAAAACATCGATAAGTGTCTCGATGGATATGGTATGGCCTACTCGTCCACCTTGGCCAGGGCCGCCGATGAACAGGCCCTCAAGTTGGCGTAATCTTCCTCCTATGCCTATAATATTTTTGTTCCTTTAGATGTTGCAAACTCTATATACATGCAGAAGCATATTTACATGTTGCATAATAAACTTTATATTTATTATTTTAGATTTTATATGTGTGTATTTTCAGATTTTATGTATATGTGTTTACACATTTCCTAGGCATGTAATAATCAGTACCATTGTTTGGAAGTCCCTTTGGCATAATATCAGGAGGAAGATGGCCGTAAAGATACTGCGACGAATCTGACATGTCTCTTTGCTGATAAGGCTGTTCCTTACCACAATCTATAGAGGATATTTCCATTGTTGTTATTAGCATTCGTTACCTCCTTACACCACATTGTTATGCACTGGTTAAAATTTCTGCAATACACAATTGGTTACTATAATAATCATTTCAAGTAGATATCAATAGTCATACTTGTGACTATCTTATATCCACAAGTTTGATATCTGTATAAATTAATTCTTCTTCCAAATAAGAAACAATAATATATTAAATATACAGAAGTTTTGTGTTTCAATTTTTAGAGAAATTGCAGGATCATATAAAGTTAAAATATTTTATTCTTTACATCTATATTATTATCTATATCAATATCTCAATTAACTCAGTCTCTATTTTTTTATCTTTATATTTTACTCTTTAAAGTAATATCTATTATCAAAGTATTGATTGCTTTGTAATCTTGAGTTTTTATATTCATAGTACATAACACTTTTTATCACAAAAGATTGGATATAGAAGAACACAAAGAAGAAAAAGAACAAGAAGCAATATATAAGTCAAAAGTAGAAGGGAGAAAAAATCTGAATGAGGGAAAGTACAAGAGTAGATGTTTGGAACAATATGATTTTTTACAGAAGCATGGATATATCGCGTCATTCTGGCCACTTAAAATGGAATATTGTTTACAAATGTGGCATGACAATTTTGGGTGTCAGCAGAAAATAAGTTTGACATTTGATTCGCCGCGATATACGGATAAAATATCAATAACATCGATTTTTCCTCTTCTTTTTTTGTTAATATATAGCGCAACCATATATGTGTATACACCTATACCTACCGACATATATCAGCGTGCTAGAGTACGTGCGTGCACGAAACAGTCTTCATTCATTTCACTCTCGGTCATCGTACCGGGATCATTCACGTTAGAAATTACGTAACTGCTACAAAGATAGCTAAAATATTCGGCGAAAACGCGCAACAAGAGAAATGCGCGTAAATAAAAAAGCGCAGGTAAAAATAGTGCGCCGAGGTGAGACACCGCACTCGCGATGGATTCTGGAATTTAACAAAATCACAAAGGGTGTCTCGCGCGTCGCGACACGTCGAAATCGCGCACGCTATATCGTAATTTCGTCAAGTATCACAGAGACGTAATACCCGTCGTTGGACGTAGCCGTGTATCGTCCTAAATTTCAAGTTTATAACCTCGTCACAACACTATACTGCCATTCGCGACCAAATTTGTGACGTAAAGTTTCCCTATCGCGTAGGATGATGTTTCGAGTGAAAGGCTTTTCCTTCGCCGATCCGTAGTGACCGCTCGATTAGTACGAGCATACCTGCCGATACGACGCACCCCGTTTTTTATCGTCTTCAATTGTTTATTACGCGCACCATTTGGTTATCATAAACCATCTTGCGTAGCCATCTCCGAACCTCAACAATTTGATTGACCCCCTAGCAGGCCCTACGAAGAAAAAATATGGCAGCTCTACGTCATTAAATGTAGCCATGATAATCGGCATGCAGATCGGCGATGCTATTTGATTCTCTAGCACTATATGCTAGAGGTCGCTTCCCGCGCGCTTAGATTCTCGATAAGAGGGCAACATTCGATTTTTGATTGGCGTGGCCATTTTGTTTCCATTATCAGAGTCCTAGAGACTTTTTCTGTCATCGTGAGTGCGGGTTCTTGCGCTGTATCCCGCGCAAAAATTAGAAGGTTCATCTAAGAACCGATAATATCAATGCACGATAGATTTGCACATTCTATCTGAACTTTTCGTACTCTCTTATAATTTTTTTTTTCCTTTTCTCGCTGCCGGTCACCGAATCTCAGCTGTATATCGATTTCACTTCAAGTGCAGAAAGTGTAATGCAGTAAAACTAAAAAGAACAAACTTTTACTATTTTATTTACTCAAGATATACTGCCTTTAATAAATTAAAAAATCGGCCAGTGCATATATCATTATCTTAAAGATTCACCGATATATGAATACTAATTCAAATAAATTCGAATGTCTTTGTACTTAACAAATGTTAAAGTCGAGAATTTGCTTGATCAAAGAAATTCGACCGCCTTTGTCAGCTTGTCAGTTTTTGTCACTTGTGCAACAGGTTAAAGCTATTATAGCTATTGTAAAACTCTATTTTTGTGCAGTTTATGAACTTGTAAAGATTTATGAATGTACATGTGAAAAAACAATGATGAGATGTACAAAATTTAAAAGTAACAAGAAGCTGCATTTGAATGTGGAAGAGGGTAAGTGTGACAATTAAAATTACATGTATTACACATGTAGTCACATCTAACATTGTAATATGACATTACATGTCATGAGAGTATCAAGTCTTGACAATATCAAGAATATATTTATTTAATTATATACTTTCTTGTAATTTAAACTACTGTGATCTATATATAGGTACAGATAATGCAACAAAGACAACAAATACCAGGATAAATGGAAAAAATGATAACTCTCCTAAAAGTTGTCGAGACTACATAGCTCCTATTAATCATAGCACACCAGTTAAGCAGAAACCTAGTTTGAATAATACTGAAGAGTCACCCAATGTTGATTATCCCGCTAGCCCACTGACTATTCCATGTACGCAAGACGGAGGTAATGAAGTTGCGTGGGATTGGCAAAATACTCTGAACAAAACTCCTAATAGGAGGACTAAAAAGCAAAATATTCAGTCTGAGACACCTAAAGGAACCAAATCATTGCAGAGGAAGAGAAATTCTGACTCTCCTTTGTTGTGCAAATCATTCAAGAGGAAAACCATCAATATGGAAAGAACAGAAAACATTGGACAGTTTAGGGCTGAGTTGCAAGCGTTGAGTGAGAAGATAGGAGTTAAAAAGCCAAATGATCAACACGATTTAGATGATTGTATCAAGGAAGAATCAATCATAATGAATACAAGTCATGATGAAGAAGAAGCCAAGTCAAGTGTTACAGATAACAAAGAGAATTATGGCACAAAAACTAACAGTCATAACAATATTAGCAAAAAAAGCTCGAGTTATGATGATTTGTTTGACGATTCAATAGATGATTCCATGGCTAGATGCACTCAGGAGATAGAAGAAATGTTCAATCTGATTATAGTCAAAGGAAATTCTATTGTGTGTCCACAGAAAGAAACCAAGAAGGGAAAATCTCCCACAAGTAACACAGTTGCTAAAATTTCTCCTATACAGTCTAAGGAAAACTCTGTGGCGACAGTGAACAAAAGTTTATTCCTTGAAAGCACAAGTGGTGATAATATATTAAAGACGAATAGCGACAGTACATTAAAAACAAATGGTGGTAGCATATTAAAGACATATTCGAGACTACCATTAAAAAAAGACGCAAACTCCAGCACACGTGTTGTTGGAGCATTTTCGCCTTGGAAAGATAAAGAGCTACATAAACTGTGTCTAAACAACAATATGGTACATTGCGACACTGAAAAATCGTGTGATGATAAAAAATCGTCAAAGGATAGCGCCGCTGAATTGTTGGATTTTCCAGATGATTCTTTTGACGATTGCTTAGCGACTTGCATTGAAGATGATAAGTTACCATCAACGTCGACTAAATTCAACAGTTTCTTACCTCCTAAGATTCAATCCAGCTATAAAACTTTAACTAATGCACCTTTGAAAGGAAAACTCTCTTATTGTACTACGATATCAAAAACAGAGCCTACAACGAAAGAAAAGATGCCCACTGCTGGTCCTCTGGACAACAGGAAATTTTTCAAATCCAAAAGCTTATCGGAACAATACATCAATCAGAATTCAATTGTACAGTATAAAAATACAGCGCACGTAACGTTCCCTTCGTATTCAACGAAGTCCGCATCGCATTTGAGCTCATTGCCCAAGTGCTCAGCGATATCGTATCATAAGAATGTTGTTGCGCCTACTTCCGTAAGTATCAATTCGATCGCTACGAAAGACCGTTATAAGAATGAACATGGTGCAAACTCTCTAATGACTAGCGCGGATCGAACGTTGAGATTCGATGTTAACAAGTCTACAGCAAAAGAAGGTGGTAATCGTTTTGTCAAACACAATTCCACCGGTAATATGAGAAATGATACTAAGGAATTAGCAAAATTTGCCTCGCTTACAGCTCGATGTACGGCGGGGGAAATTGAAAGGAAAAGGTTGCAAGCCAAAATGCGACTTGAGGCGAAGCAAAAGCTATACGCTGTTAATGTTAAAAATAATATTAACAGGTAAAAACATGCATCCTAATCCGTTTTGTTTATTACGGAATATTACGGAATATTACGAAGGATGAATATTTTTCTTGCTCTAATGCTACCACATTGTTCCGGGAACAATGGGAACGAACATGGGCACGACGATCGTTATTATTGTAATCGTTGTTATAATTACTATTGTACGATATTAAGAAATTACACAAATATTTTTTATAAATGTATAGATACGGATGTGTGTGGAAGAGATCTATTTGTAGAATATATTTAAACTATGTATAGAGATGTTAGAATCTAGGAGGGGATATAAGTGGAATTCATATTTTTGATGTTTCTCAAAAGATTGCTCTTTCCCAATTGAGAGATTATAGCAAACAGATAATTTGTAATATAACAATTTGATTTAAGAAATTTATAATTCGCGCAAACGTACACGAAATATATCGCGAAAGTAAATAGAACGCAAACATAAATCATTTATTGCAAATTGGTCTTTCCCTCGTATTTTCACCCTTCCCATATTTTCTCTCGCAAAGATATAAATTTCCTATTGTACAAGATTCCACTTCAACTGCATTATCTTATCATAATTGTTCGCTCTGTGTTATGTCCTTTATTCGACGAAATTAATTTAACGGTATTTATATATTCGTTTTTGAATATTTATAGTTGTCTTTTTTCTTTTATGCAAAATCAGGGCGTATCTATTACCTAAGACATATAGGATGTAAGATATGCGACGTATTTTATACCCGAGAGGGCTCAGATTAATTTAACATTCTCATGGAAGTCGAGTGGGACAATTTCGTTGTAATAACAATTCCTTGCGGTCTCTGGAGCAATAAACGTTGTAGTGTACAACGACATTACACACACACACCTTCTTCCTTTTTTTATTTTCATGAGATTCTTGCCTTTAGTTATCCTTGAAAAACGGGCTGAGCCCGCGCACGCGTGCAACCGCCGGACTTTGATATGTCGGTCGCCCGTGACTCTATTTGATCAATATGTCGCGTGACGTCAGCCAAGAAGTCACCACCTGTCCGCTCCGTCGTTCTACGCGGCACCGATTGACTCTGAAATCTCTGAAATCGCTCTCTTTTCGCACTCGCGATTCATCAAACTTCGTCTCTCGGTCTCTCGCGTCGCAGCTACCCGTGGTCGACTTGCGCGCGACTCAGGATAATGCCCGAGGCGACGACTCTCTTACCGCGCAAACATCCCTCACCGCGCCTGTCTTCGTCCGCGCGTCTCTGTCCTTCTCACGGAAGGACCCGGACTCTTGTTTGCGATCCCGCGCGTTAAAGCCGTTTATCGTTATAATTTCCTCGTTCTTTTCTCTCCTACCCTCTACCCGTGCGACAGCTTTCACCTATAAAGAAACGGGGCGCAATGGCGCGCGGCGTTCGAAGCGTCAATCATTAATCTTTCTTCTCTTCTTCTCCATCTCTCCGCAGTGCTACCGGAGAACCCTCTAAGGTGTGGACCTACATCTAGGAGGTCGCACCTCTCGTCGCGCAGTCCGCGCGTTCGCTCGAGCAGTGATACGCGAGCGTGCCATATCGCAATTGTGATCGTACGTGAGCAAACACAAGTGTGTTTTGCATCTTGACTGCCGTCCGTCGGACGCGGCGTGGAAAATCGTGGCTGCTTTTCCCCGGCAGTTTACCGTGCGTCGCCAGCAGCAGCGCGGTCGTTGCCGCCGCTGACAAGGGCAAGAGTGTGAAGGAGGATCTTCCCTCAGATCCCTTCGTCATCCGCGCCGTCTACGAGTCGACTGCCACCGCCACCGCCACCGCCACCGCCATCGCCATCATCGCCACCGCCGCCTCCGCCTCCACCGCCGCTGAAGTCGTCATCACCATCGTCACCGATATCACCGCCGCCGCCACCGCCGCCGCCACCGTCTCCACCGTCTCCACCGCTGCCGCCGCCACCGCCGCCACCGCTCTACCGCCTCCACCACGAAAATCATAGTACCATCGCGTACCTCGAGTAGTCGCCGAGTACCTCGGAGTGTCCAGTGTCCGCGAATCCGCGAATGCGAAGTACGGTCCGGACGCGCTTCGTTGCCGGCCGCCCCTCGTCACGATGCTACTCGCGGTGATCGCGCTACTCTCCCTCGCCGCCGGTACGACCACCGCTGAGATCTTCACCAACACGTTCCTGGTGAGGATGCGGCAACCAGCGGAGAGGCACGTAGCCGACCGCGTAGCGCTCAGAAACGGATTCGTCAATCTTGGGCCGGTGAGTATGCGTGGTCCTCGAAAACCGCGAACTAGGGACCACTGGAAAATCATCAGTCGAGCCCCGGAGGATAACCGAAGGGAGCTAGCGGATGAATTTCTTCTGCCGCATAGGTCTCCGCACCTCTTGCAGCACTTTCCCCGTGCACCCTCGTCTGATTGTGTCCCCCTTTTGCTCCTTCTCTCACAAATCCGATGCTTGCGCACAAGTCGCGCAAAATGCAACTCGAACGTGGAATACATATTTTCAGGCCGCTTTCGTCGTCGACGAATAAGCACGAAGAAGGGGCATGCATCGGACGATCAGCACAGTCGATGTCATTTTCTCGCGTATGGCGCGCGGCGTCGCGTTTAATTCGCGCGATTGATTACGCGCAAAGAGAGTTAGACCTGGTATCTACAATACGTGTCGTAAGTTGTAAGCCGTAAGAATTGGCGAATCACAGTCGATTATTACAAAAATAATCGGCTATGATTGGTCAGTTCTTACGGCTTACAGCTTACAACACATATTGTAGACCAGGCCTCCGTCCGGATTCCGTCTTACTCGAATTTCCGCCCTGTCTCGGCCGCGAGACAACTGTTTGTTCGTTGTCGCGAAACTGCATGTAGTCCGTTGCAGCTGGAATTCGAAACAAAACTCGAGCCAGACTCAGGATCGGGGAGACTCTGGCTCTTGCGGTAAATAAAAAATGAAAAAGGAAGAGAAGCAGCGAATAGTCGCAGAATGGAAAAGTGGGTAGGCAACGACACTCAACGGTTGTGCAACTGTTGTGAGTGATTTCGTCCTGAACGCCACTGAGCGATGCGCTCACTCGCAATATGTTGAGTGAGCGGTCGCCATTTTTCCCGTCATAAATATTCGTCGCTACCATTACTCATCAGTCACCGATCCGACATGGCGCAGCCCATAAATGAAGAGAATAACAAAGAAAATAGTTATATAAATTCAAATATATCCGAGATCTTTTGGAAACGAAAAATTGTGAAGATTGGTCAAATCAAACTGAGAAGAGAAGTACCATTTTGCAAAAATCGCAATAGTTATTAAGTTACTAATGACATTTAGAAGCTCCTTTAATTGATAACTTGAAAATTTGCGTACTTATTTGCAAAATGGCAAAGGACCTTTTCAGAATGACCTAATCTACAATTATATGATGTCTATTACGTCTAGCGACAGGTTCAAGATTCAGGGCTCAAAGTTCAATATTCCCATACCTATCGCTAAACACAATAGCCGTCGTATAAAATTGTAGATTGTCATTTTAAACAAAAAAAATCCTTTATCATTTTGCAGATAAGTACGCAAATTTTCAAGTTATCAATTGAGAACCTTCTAGACCTTCTGGCGAATTTGCAATCGTTAATAACTTAATAACTATTGCGATTTTTGCAAGATGGTACTCGTTGGTTTTCTTCTCAATTTGATCCGATTAATCTCCACAGATTTTTCGCTTCCAAAAGATCCCGGACACCCTGTATAGTGGGAAGTACACATATGAATTATATTTATAAAAATACTTAATAATTACAAGACACACATAAGCGTGTAGACGGGCCGTAATATTCAGTGCATTTATCTGACACTTTTTCAGGCGCAACAAAATCGCCCAGAACTCTGATCAGTTGCGTTCAGTGTACATTTCTACTGTTCACTCATCGGATGCTCAACTGTTGTGCAACTGTTAAGTCTCGTGAACACAGCCGTTGTTGCATAGCGCGGCAGGCTGCGAGGCTAATCGGCGGTGCTTCGGTATGAACATCGGAGTAGCGGTGTGTCGCGTGAGATCGTGGCATACTTTTACCTCGTTTGTCAACGATACCTTGTCGTAAAAAAAAAAAAAAAGAAAAAGGGGAAAGAAAGCGAAAAAGAGAAAAAGGGAAAAAGGGCTTTTCTATGCCGCAGATAAAAGGCAGAATATTATTATTCTGCATCCGTTCTACTTACGCGTGATGTTGCACGCCCGCTGGCGACGCACCACGCGTCTGATTCAACCCGCCACGTCCTCCAGTGTGGCTTCATGTATTCCAGCTGAACGTGTGGACACGGACGCACACCTCGCCGAGCGGCAACGAGCGCGTCAGTAAAAAGTACACAGGGTATATTATTAGACACCCACGATAAAGGGGATTGTTAAAATACAGCCGCTAATATCGGCCTACGCACCTTTTATCCCTTGATACTGCTGTTGCGTCAACAATTTGCTAAAGCGTTTCTTCTCTCTCTCTCTCTCTCTCTCTCTCTCTCTCTCTCTCTCTGAGAGAAAAAAGAGCAAAAGTCATGCGACTGATGATATTTTGCGTTCGTCATATCGTGAGCTTAAACACTGGACAAGTTCGATCCAGCCAGCCGGGGTGATGAATCGAATTCGCACGAAATATCTTTCGATGATCCGTATTTTCATTTTGACTGTGACTTTTTTTCCGTCTGCTAGAGTATCGCGCCTCCTTCGACAATGGACTAGACATTCGGTATCAGATAGATGTCTCTGATGCAATCTTTCCCCGCCGTGAAGGAAATTGATGTTCCGTAAGCCGTATTTATCGGCGCGCTGACGTCGTTTCTTCCGATTAAAACTGTTTCCTGGCTGTCCCGTACGATTAACCGCTGCGGGATATGAAGCTGAATTATCGGGGCGATCGATCGTTCCGACCGCGATGTGATTAATTCTGCCAAGCTTGGCAGTGGCTGGTTTTATCGCGGATAAGCGTCGGTTTGACAGTTGACGCGATCGACCGAAGAATCTTCGTTCGTTGTTTGACGAATTTATCTCGGACCAGTCGTTCCGCTTTCGATCTCGCGGTCTGTCACATCGTGGGCTATCGCGATAATCACTCGCATACATTTATAAAACTAATAAGGGATCGTCCATTAATCACGTCCATTAATCACGTGATACATTTTTCGGCGTTTTTTACCCCCATCCCCTGCGTGATTTTAAGCGATATCACAGCTAACCCCTCCCTCCTATCACATGATTTATTAATGTCGTCTTATTAATAAGAAACTCATTTATATAAATATATATTTATTTTATATATTATATAATTTTATATAAATTTGACATAAATGAACTATATATATATATATATATATATATATTACTATATATACTATATATATATATGTATATATGTATATATTATAATATTAATTTTAATAAAAATTACATTTCTTCAGTCCATAGTATATGCATACTTTTGTCAATAGTAGGTCAATAGCCAGCCAATAAACAGTCGCGTCGTAAACGTCAGTTGGTATCGAAGAATTAGCTTTCGCGAAAAAATGCACGTGATATTTCGTATCGCCCCCCTTCCCCATCGTGATCATCCGTGATGTTTTCATTGACTCCCCCTTATCCCCTTAAACCTCACGTAATTAATGGACGACCCCTAAATGAAGTTGTCCCTCCTCTCCCCTCTCTCTCTCTCTTTCTCTCTTTCTTTGTGCATCTGCAGAAAAATTCTCTCCTTCAAGCCAACACGTCCCAACAGCGCGTTGTTAAAAACAGACGTAACGCAAAAAAGAATTAAAGAAAAATGGTTGACATAACAGCCGCAACACACGAAGTCAAATAAATTAAAATTGAAATTATTCTGAAACACAAAAGGGTTTCTCTTGTGGAAATTTTTAACGTCATGTAACTTCATGTGTTCAAACTGTTACGCTGACCTGTGAGTGGCTGGAGAAAAAAAGTGAGCGCCCACGGAATGAACTATATAAAATATTCTTTCGTCTCTTGAAGGTTCTAGACAGCCAGACGGAGTATCACTTCGTACACAGAGCTTTGCCGCACGTGCGAAGTAAAAGATCCGTGCCACACATGCGAAGGTTGAAGGTCGATCCTTTGGTAAGTTTCAACGTATCTCTGTCATTTCGCAAAGTCGCACGATAATTAGGGGAGACCGAGGATGATTGATACGGGACACGTTGATACATTTAAAATTATTGCAAAATGACAAACGCATAAAATTGCATAAAAGATATAGTAATTCTGTAAAAACATTGCGGTCAGGTTGTAATATGTTATTTCAGGCTAACTAGTGTATTTTCAGAAACAAACATTTTTGATAGTCAAAAATAAAATAAATCGGACATATATATTATGTTATATTAATAAATCTGATCATTATATTATGATTGCAACAGTTTATTTAGAATCTTTATTTTAAAAATAATAATTTTTAGTTATGTTGATGGTTTTAAATATACTTTTGTTTATACAATAATCAAAATATGTAAATATGGTGAGCCAGGACTGATTGTTACAGGGTCTATTGTTACGGCTGTCAGCTGTTTATTGTAACTTACTGCACTAGTTCAGTAAGTGCATTAGTTCAATAAGTGCATTAGTTCACTAGTGCAATTAAAAAGAACAGATTAATAACTTCGATATAACCTCAGCTATAATCAACAGTAGCGATTGATATTGTGATTTTATGTAGAATTCTATTTTTAACGTTTTTGTTAAATATTTGAATATCATAATTACGTATTATACATGTAGATGTGTATAAAGTATACGTTTTTAAAAGAGAGGAAAGGAAGATAATCGGCAATCCTTACGGATACACCTGTTAAATTTATTTTATTGGGTAAGAAGCAAGTTCAAACAATAAATAAAGTTCGTAAAACAGTAACAAAAACAAATTTTTAGCAAGACATAAGTTTATCTTATTTAACGAAATTCAGCACGTATAATTTTTTTTTACTATTTCATACACACTTTAAATCATACAGATTTAAATGTTTTCTTTTACACTTTGTTTTCAAACGAAAAATTGAAAATTATATCAGGTTTTTATAGGCTTTACTAGTGCAACATTTTATAACTAATATTTTCACTTTTATATTACTGTTATTTGTAAAAGAAAAAAATAAGACTGAAAAATAACTGACAAATATGTTTTTATCTTTATATCATTGATAAATATGTTTATGTTTATATCATAAATGCTACATGAATATATATTTTATCTGCAAAATATTAATAGTTATATTATGCATATTTTTCATTTATTTATAATCATTAAATGTATTATTTTTTTAAGTACAGAGATCTGTAACAACTGACCTCGTACATGAAGTCGGTTGTTACAAGTGCTGTCGTCTTATATTTTTCATTGATGCAACAAAGTTAATAGAAATATTCAATAAAAAAATAATTTTTGTATTGTATAAGCATGTGGCTATTAAAAAATTCTCACGCCACTTATATTCCATTTGTTACTTACGCTTAAAAAATTCATTAAAAAAAGCTGTATCAACCAGTCGCGGTCTCCCCTATTCGAACTTCCTCGCCGATTAATCGGACTGACTAGTCGGAAAAGAAGAAAGAGGAGAAGGAGGAAGAGGAGGCGGCAGCGCATAAGGATTAATGAATAGAGGTTTTAATATTTGATATACCTTGGCGCGATTAGGTGGATACGGCCATACAGCAGGCTGGCTTCAAGAGGGTCAAGAGGGGCTACAAGCCCCTGAGCGTAGACAACCTCGTACCCTTGTACGAAATGAAAAATCCGGGGAATCCCGGGAACAAAGACCCGACCGATCCCTTCTTCAAGTACCAGTGGTACCTGAAGAATATCGGGCAAAATGGCGGCAAGCCGAAGCTGGATCTAAACGTCGAGGCCGCCTGGGCTCAGGGTGTCACGGGAAAGAACGTAACGACGGCTATTATGGATGACGGTATGAATATATACATATGTGTGTGTGTGTGTGTGTAAAAAAACCCCTCCTGTTTTTTTCTCTTTATCCCTCCCTCTTTCTCCCTCGCGTTCTCTGCCATTTCTCTCGATAAACGAGAGCTCGGCTGGGATTATTTCAAAGTCAAAACGGTCTCGAATTCCACGCGCTCGAGTGCAGTTTGCACAGGCGACTTTGAATCGATATCTGCCGAGGGGAGAGTTACGCAACGCTCTCTCGTTTCACTCGAGAAACGAGAGATAGAGAGACACACATACATAGGAAGAGGGTGGAGTGACAGAATGAGAAACATATATTTTCATAGAGTCGCCGACGTATAAGTCGCACTCGTTTAACCGAGCGAGAACTTTTGCGAGAACGTCCAGCCACTTTTCGTTAAGGACAAAACACAATAGGACAGATCGCCCTTCGTGGCTCGTTGCCCTTCCTCCTAATCGCGCAAGCGGAAACGGGACCTCAATGACGATTCCGCTACACGTTGCCGGTGCACGTGACAGCATATTTATACGTCGAGAGACACACCTTTCTCTCGACGACGTTGACGCAGCTCGGCTAGCACAAACTTTCGAGGGTGACTTTCGCCGAACTCCTGATCAATGAACGGCCGACAGAATTGCCAACGTCGATTCCTGACTGTGTAATTTATCGGGCAACAGCAATGGCTAAAATCAATCATTTATATCTATGTACTTTCGAGAAACTATGCGGAGATAATACTCCGCCGAAAGAGATAATTTTTAAGAAGAACTTTAATTATACATTTTTTCGCTAATTAAACTAATTTAAGAGTTCAGTGAAAGTCTAAAAGACGCCTCGAAGACGTCTAAACGACGAAAAACGTGGGACGTCTTTTGAAAAGTTTGTACAGAATGCCGGGAATTCGCCCCGTGATACCGCATTTTAACCCCCGTATTTCCCTTGTAGGTGTCGACTACATGCATCCCGATCTCAAGTACAACTATGTAAGCATACTCATGTCACCGTTATGTTAAGAGGACGTGCTTTTAGAGCGAACGCGAGAAGCGCTGAGGGGTTTACTCGTGTTGTTTCACCGCGGGTTATTTACTACGTAACTTTATATTAATGGGACATTTTCGTACTAGAGCGTGTCGTGGCCGAGGAATCGAAATACTTCTGTTCGCGTTTTCCTGGCAGAGCACGGATGCCATTCTCGGCGTACCTCTCGCGTCGCGCAGACACGCGAGGAATTTCGAAGCGGAGAATACTACGTTGACCATATTTAGCGGTTCAGCGGAGACTAACAGGCTCGACAAGTAATTGCTCATTGCTGTTCGAGAGGAAGAACGAGAAAACATTTGTTTACCGGCTTTTTTGCGACAGTCCGTCGCGCGGTTGTATCGTGGAACGGCCGTTTCACGCAAACGCGAAGCATATTGTCGATATGTAGCACTTTCGCGTCGGCGTGCCCGCCATTTTGCGAAATCGAGCGTCTCCCTTCAGAGAATGTCGCGTGTGTAGCCTCTTCTGAGAACGAGGGATGACATTTTTTTACTCTTTCCGAGAATTTTGCTCGGATTCGTTGCCGATAAGACTCGGACCCTGTTAACAGCCTCACGACCTTTCGTCGCTGTTTCGCTCTCGCGAATTGCAAACGCACAGCCTCTTGAGTACGGATCGGCAATTACAGGACCATTCACCTCGATATCTTCTTGTTTCAGAACGCTAAAGCCTCCTACGACTTCAGCAGTAACGATCCATATCCTTATCCTAGATACACTGACGACTGGTTCAACAGGTAAAAGCGTATTCTTTCTGAATTCAACTTGATGAGATATAAAAGCTAAGACATTTGCTGTAATCTACATGACGGTTCGTCGTATCAAGCATTTTTCTCGATTAACGCCAAAACCACCGAACGTAAAACGGCTGACGGCCAAACGGCTGACTTGTAATCTCTTGTAAATACTACATGAATTTATACGACGACGCATCTTATATTTGTGGATACAATGAACGTAGAATGGCACCGAAGGAAACACCTTTGCCCTTGCATAGCCTCTTTTTTTTCAAAAACCCATCACTTCGATCGCTCTTGGTAAAAATAGCTAGGTTAATCGTTCTTTTGCCTCCGCGGTCGTACGACAATCCACTAAAGTTGAAAAGTGGAAAGATCGGAGTAGACGAAACGACGATTAAAATCGAGTTCTTCGCACTCCCATCGAAGCCACGGTACAAGATGCGCCGGCGAGGTCGCAGCCGCGCGTGACAACGGGGTGTGCGGCGTTGGGGTGGCGTACGACTCGAAGATCGCCGGGATTCGGATGCTGGATCAACCTTACATGACCGACCTGATCGAGGCCAACAGCATGGGCCACGAGCCCGACCTCATAGATATTTACAGCGCCTCCTGGGGGCCGACGGACGACGGGAAGACGGTAGACGGGCCGCGAAACGCAACCATGAGGGCCATTGTTCGCGGCGTTAATGAGGTAAATACATTACGCAGTCGCGTGTATCGATGCGACAACAATTGGCGGAATTAATACATTCATTAGCGAGCCAGTGACATTCACGGCGAGATCGTTAGTTCGCGCGCCGGTACAAAGGACGGCCGCGTTCGTTTCGGGATAAAATGGAATTTTGCGTCGAAGAAAATTAGGTTTTCTTTTCCTTTTTTTCTTCTTCCAAAGGGGTCATGAGGCTCCTTTGCGCGTGAGGGAGAAATGTATCGAAGCTAATAATGGATCTTGTGTTTGACCTCGTCGCTTGTTTGCTCACCAGGGTAGAAAGGGCTTGGGTAACATTTACGTCTGGGCTTCCGGAGACGGCGGTGAGGAGGACGATTGCAACTGCGACGGATACGCTGCGAGCATGTGGACCATTAGTATTAATAGCGCCATTAACGACGGACAGAACGCTCATTACGACGAGAGTTGTTCCAGCACCTTAGCTTCTACCTTCAGCAACGGTGCTAAGGATCCCAACACCGGAGTGGTGAGTGAGATTCTTTCGAGTCGGAAAGGTTCTCACTTCGAGCGAGCGAATCTTTCTTTTTTTCTTTATTTCCTTACGGAAATGCGAGACGAAATATTGATAGAAGTAGAAACAAATTATATTATTTAATCGTGATTAAAGCACCGTGTGCCCGCGGTTTTATAGGCTACCACGGATCTGTATGGAAAGTGTACGACGACTCACAGCGGGACGTCCGCCGCGGCACCGGAAGCCGCAGGAGTATTTGCGCTTGCTCTCGAAGCTAAGTGAGTGTACACCAGTTTGACAAATTTACTTTCTCTCTCTCTCTCTCTCTCTCTCTCTCTCTCTCTTTCTCTCTTTAGATTCTTAAGACTCTTAAACATTGACATATTGTGTTACCGCGATGAGACTTTAGCGTTGATTCGGAATGCATCCGACATTCCAGACCGGGTCGTTCTGGAGGAGGATTAAACTCAGTTGTCGATAAATCCATCCTCGATTTCACTTCACAGTCCGCAGCTAACGTGGAGAGACATTCAACACTTGACCGTCCTAACTTCGAAGAGGAATTCTCTGTTCGACGCCAAAGACAGATTTCACTGGACCATGAACGGCGTCGGACTCGAGTTCAATCATCTTTTCGGATATGGCGTCTTGGACGCGGGCGCTATGGTAGCGTTGGCCAAGAAGTGGAAAACGGTACCGCCGAGATACCACTGTGAGGCCGGCTCTATGTTTGACACGCAGTGAGTAGATACTTGAAATTGACTTTGGACTCATGTATGTATCAGCCGAAGTAACTGCAGGATGATACGGGCGATTTTATCGTGTTGTCGCGTGCGTAACGCAAGCATCGACTTGAGAAACACTCAAGGCTTATTACACGAACTGATAAAACCATCTTCTCAGACCAGTTTTACATTCCAGGGAAGTCACGAGCGATCGATCCATTCTCGTGAAGATTAAGACTGACGCGTGTGCCGGCACGGAATATGCCGTCAACTATTTGGAGCACGTACAAGCCGTCATATCCGTTAACGCGACTCGCCGCGGTGATCTCGAGTTGTTCCTTACATCTCCGATGGGCACGAGGTACGACGAGCGCCATCTTCTACTTCTCAATCCTTTGGAATCTGAACTTAACAGTCTCTTCCCTCTTTTCTCCTCTCAGTAATTTTAATTCTCATTTTTAATTTCAAGCTTCCAAATTTGTAACTTTTATTTTCGATTTAACCCTCGATTTAGCTTTCAGTTTGATTCTTAATTTAATGTTTAATCTAATTTTTATCTTCTTAAAAACGAAGAAAACGACTTTGCACGCATATTCTATATTTTGAAATGAGAGATTAATTTTTTGAAACATGTATGTGGTGGTTCCCACAGCGACAGAGTCAATTCGAATGAACCGATGCGTAAAACTGCAATTTTCTGTGATTGTTTCAGATCTATGATCTTAAGTCGTAGAGTAAACGATGACGATCATAGAGATGGATTTACGAAATGGCCGTTTATGACGACACACACGTGGGGCGAATATCCTCAGGGTACCTGGCTGCTAGAGGTAAACTTTGACATTATATTAGATGGAGGAAAGTTTGTAATACTTTTTCTTTTAATGAGTTTTGCAGCGCGTCCTGATCGAGTATAGGAGAGAGAGAGGATTTCGCTGGTTAATAATTCTCAGCAAATAAATTCTTCTATCAGAATATTCTGAATTCGCGTTTTAAAGTTTATCGAGGTCAAAATGACGCAAACTTCCTTCTACTGACTACGTATCATAAATCGATCTGCACGGTTTTCGAATCTTTCAGGTAAGTTTCAACACTCAGACTCCTCAACATGGATGGCTGAGGGAATGGACGTTGATGCTGCACGGCACCAAAGAACCACCGTACACGGGATTGTCAGCGGCGGATCCTCACTCCAAATTAGCGATCGTGAAAAAGGCCCACGAGGAGCGATTGAGCGCGATCTAAAATGATATTTGACGATTTCACGCGATCACATCGCCGACATGAGGACGAGAACAATGGAAAATGGATCTTGATCAAAGGATGTTTACGCGACCGCACCTTTTTCGATTTGCCGACTTTAGTTGACCAGCTCTTGAGACACAGAGATGTACGCCTCAATTTAAGATCCTATTGTATTGCATTGCTGACCGCCATCGCTCGCGTGCCAATTATTGCCGGCACTCATCTATTATTTCGGTATTAGTTAAGACTCACTCGTATTGGATCGACCAGAAGAAAGTGGACTTTAGCTACGTTCCATTGTAGTCACGTTTACCGAATCATTGTCTAGTCCTAATTACGACGTCATGTAGTTATATGTAATTATATATCATATCGAGAAGTATCATTTTACGAAAATCATGCCCGTGTTGATACCTTTTTGAATTTCGCGATCGGGAGGAGCAAGGAGACACGTACGAGAGAAAATTTATTATGTATTACTCAATAGCAGATCATTGAAAATTACTCTTTTGACGGAGCGGTAAACTTGAAGTCACACAGTCGGACACGCGTCAACGTCAATGACACGTGATAATATCGTAAATACCGTGGAATCAATATAAGGTGCAGGACACCTGCGAAAGAGTATCCCGGGAACAAGAGTTTAGTGTGATCATCGTCGTCCTCGTAACTCTCAGCCGTTTTTAATATTTAACTCCCTTGCATCGTTCATGTTCCACTTGATACCGCGCGTTGCACACACGATTTAATATCCCCAAAACTGTGACCTCATTAAATTCATCGAACGCGATATGACGTAATGACCCAATTACATTTTTTACCAAGCTTTTTTTTATTACGGAACGCCAACGAAGGAGGGGGTGAGGTATCCCTTCTGTTCTTTACGTTCGGATTTAATCGCGCAGATTAAATCGCAGGTTTAATGTTTTTGTACCGTTGTTTTCTTATTTTCTTCTTCGAAGAGATATTTGTTCATTCGTTCTCTCTCTCTCTCTCTACCCCTCTCTCTTTCTCTCTCCCTCTTTTTCATAGGCCTCAGAGATACTATAGACTTCAATGCTCTTGATATCGTGTTGAGAGTATTTACTTATTTGTCGACATCCCGAGATGGATGTCACCATGGATGTCACGATCGGTTGTAAAGAAAAATGCATCTTTCCTCTTCTCGTTTTAGGCGCGAATGACAGGAACGCGAGGACGTTTATGAGGAACACGAGAACGCAAAAAAAAAAGAAATAATACGGATGCTACAAGATCCGCACGTGTAGATGATATATCTTAGAATCGTAGTGAGCAGAGAATTTTAACATTACATTAAATCATATAAATATAAATGCATATATAAATAAGATATGTGTGTATGTATATACATATGTGTGTGTGTGTGTGTGTGTGTGCGCGCGCGTAGTAGTGTATGTACACATATGTATATACGCATATATCTTATAGTTGAAATAAAATTAATCAACCTTATTCTGTACACGATATAAGTGGATGAATAAAATCTGTATTTTTTGGCTGGCATCGTTTTTATATGGTGTACCTTCGATGCGTTTATTATCGCCTCCACCTACCCTTTTCCGATCTAAAGTAGATGTCATTCTCCAGCTTTGTCAATAAAAATATTTATAGAGGATTCTCAAGTATTTTTACAGGAAAAAGTCACGAGATATTTACTTTATATCAAATGAAAGAGTAATATAAGTAAACATCAACACAAACACACACACACACACACATACAAAATACCAATAATATTATACAATACTAATTACGATAATTTTAAAGAGAAAAATTCAATATTTTCAAAGGATTCCCAAGTATTTTCAGAGGAAAAAGTCACGGGATATTTACTTTATATTAAATGAAAGAGTAATATAAGTAAACATCGGCACACACACACACACACACACACATACACACATACAAAATACCAATAATATAATATTCATTAGGAAAATTTTAAAGAGAAAAATTCAATATTGATCTGTATCACTGATACTTGATTTAGTTAGTCTCGCAAATGAAATACAGAATGCGCTTCACAATAGGCAAGCTCGAGATACAAGCGTTCGATTAAGATTCATTTAAATATCGCGCGTATACGCGTAGAGCGGGGACGGGCGGTGAATGTGCGTAATTAAACGTCGGACAGAAAGAGACGTACGCGGAGACGAGGAGAGAAGGAGAAGGAAAATTGGCAAGGAGAAAGAGGAGGTGGTAGAGGAGGAAGAGGCGGAGAAGGAGGAGGAGGCAGAAATGGGGTAGTTAGAGGAATTGGTGGGGTGCAGGGATGGAACGGAAGCGGAAAGGGTTGAGGAGGCGCGTGGGATTACGGAAGAGAGCCGCGCTCAGTCCGACAGTTCGGTTCGAGAGTTCGCGTGTTATAGCCAGCTTTCGAGAGGAGGCGGAGCTGCATTTCCGTTTGTTAATTAATCGTCGTAAGTGTACATGAGAGAGAAAGAGAGTGAGATAGAGCGTACGGAAAAGAGAGGAAGGCGGCAACGTGTTCGTGCATCGAGCACGTCATGTGCGTGTCCAGTTCTTTCAAATTTAAGCGAGGCTCGATCCGAAGCGGCGCTCAAAGAGACGCGACGAGTGTGTGCGAAATTACGAATTCTTTTACCGTCCTCGTTGAAAATTCACGTAAGCGCAATTTACATGACAGATATTCACCTATAAAAGTAAAGCTAAAATGCTAGATTTAAAAAGAAGAGACAATTTCACCGTGCTCGTCCAGGGAACGAAATTACCCGCGTGTTCGCGTATACACTCAGTTTCGAAGCAATTTCTAGCGGTAATGAATAGCTGCCACGGCTATGCTTCTTTTTCCGTCCGAGAAGGAATTCTTTTTTTTTTTTTAAGTCTCTTTCGGAAGAATTTGAGAATCGTCGGTCGAACCTAGGCGACCGCCGACTCTTCCATTCAATTTGCTCAATTAGCTTAACGTAGCTACACGCGATTCATGCTTGATTATTAGAATAGAGATTCTCGCTTTATTTTTATTAAATATTTACAATACCAAGCGAGACTTTGCCGCCGCATTAGAACGGCGGTTAGTCGATTTGTCTTGTCGGTCTTGTCGCGAGTTCATTATTTTCAAGGAGAGCATAATGACGGTCTTAAGAGCGACGTCACTTTCGGACCTCGGACACCGTTATATCGTTCTCCGTACAATTTCCAGCCGAGAGACGAGCCAGCTGCAGCTAAGCCGACGATGTTCGCTCGGTGAGGGCTGGAATCGCGCATCCCTCGCCGCTCTATCCGGCGTCCCCCGTGACGTGTCGCGTTGTACCGTACGGGGGATTAACGAGAGAGGGAGAAAAAGGACGAAGGGAGTGCGCAAAAAGACGGTCGGACAGTCGGACTCGACGGGGGAACGGGGAATTTAGGGACAGGACGTACGGCAGGACCCGGCAAATGTGGCTTTGTGCACGGTGAGCCGAGCCTACGGGGGTCGCGTGGCCCACGGGGGTGGCAGGGCCCGTAGTGGCGGTGGCGGTAGTGTCGGTGGTGGTGCCGGTAGTGGTAGTGGTACCAGTGGTGGTGGTGGTGGTGGTGGTGGAGGAGGAAGTAGGTTACGCGCAGGTGAGACCAGCGCGCGGTTGCCCTTGAGCCCCCGCACTTTATGCGGGACAACCGGCTCTCGAGGGGTGCACGGTGCGACCGGTGCGACAGTAGCTACCGGCGGTACCAGCACCCTGAGCGGCTACACGGAGGAGGCTGGTATCGGGCTGGTGTCGGACGAGCCGATGGTGCACGTGGAGAGATCAACGACGCGTCAGGGTACATGGATATGCTGCGTGCCTTGTTACTGGCTGAGACGGAGCAAGGCCGTCCACAAGGCGCTGCTCACCTTCGCCATGCTGTTGGTCACCAGTCTGTTAGTCACCAGTCCGGTGCTCTTCCTCATTACGACCCTGCCGGAGGGCGAGCAGCCGCGGAGCTGCGCGCCGCTGGTGCGTTCTTTGTCCTTGATCCCTTGAGAGGTTTGACTTTCATCAGCCTCCGATGGGGCTGATCGATGATTGGCTCAAGCCGAGCCGGCGGACGTGGAAAATAAATGACTATTTTCTTCGTAATATAAGAAAGGAGATTTTCTTGTTTTGTCTCTTTGTAAGTGACATTTGAGATTGCTAGAGAGAAAGAAGGAGAGAGAGAGAGAGAAAGAGAGAGAAAGAGAGAGAGAGAGAAAGAGAGAGAGAGAGTATCACGTATTACCCTGCTGCTGTTCTATTAGCAGCTTTATCCATTTTTAGCTTAATTATCCATTAGCTTAATCAAAATCTGATGAAAGTCGATCTCCTCGCAAGTGCGTGATTTACTCGCGAGCGATTATTCACGCGAGCCCTCTCCGTCCGATCGTTGATATATTTAAATGCTCGCAATAAGGAGGTTTGCTTTGAAATTCGCATGACTCTGTCAGTCGGCCAGAGTCGTGAGTAATTTATATCGATCGTGGCTTAGTTCGAGGTGAAAGAAAGGTAAGGAGTCGGATATTTAGTAATAACATCCCATCCTACAGCCTTGATCCGGGAATAATCACGATGTCGATGGAAGTCGCGTCGCGACTTCAGAGCGAGAGAGCTCGACGCTCGAGCGAAATTCAATTTTAAGCTGATCTGCATATCCGAATGTAGATGAATTGTACATGATACGGCGATGATAAGGACGAAGGGATCGGAGTACGGAGTCCTCGTCGAATCGTACACACGCGAACACACAGTCCGAAGGCGACAGACGGACAGAGGCACGCTCGCGCGATAAATCGCGATTATTTGCGATAGACGCATAATGTGTGTGCCGGCGCACAAAGCGAAGCCGTATCGGAAGGTAAGGGGTTTCGAGGCGAATGAAAAGCTCATCCTCGGCTAAGGTCAGGGCTTTACCCGTTATCCTGACCTTTAGACCTATATTCGCCTTATGTTTGCATTCAAACGCGGTTTATTCATAGACCGTAGTCCGCTATTGAGTGTACGAAAACGGTGCGGTAACGTGGTCGAGCGTTGGAAGCATATGCCGCCCAGCGAACTGATCCGATGGAAGTGGCGAGACCTGTCGCGAGTGAGACGGAAGTGTGACGGGAGAACGTTACCGTTACGTCTCCGCCACACCGACTTTTGTGCTGCGAGTCGCTGCGAGTCGAATCATCGATGATTTGACGAACCTTTGCCAGCCGCTAATAAAAAAAAAGGAACATCGCGCGGCTTCTGAAACGAGGCGGATGGTTACAATTTCAGGATGAGGCCTGCATCAGAGAGCGAGATGGACCCGACGGTGTTTGCGACTCGGACGTTTGCGTGGAGGCCTCGAAGAGGATCTTGGCGTCCATGAAACGGGGCGTTGATCCTTGCAAGGATTTTTACACATTCGCTTGCGGCGGTTTCCGCGATCAACGACCCTATCAGCCGAGCGCGAGTTTTAATATACTTCAGGTGCAAATTGACGAACGCATACACAGTGAGTACCTTTGTGAGTACCCTTTGCCTTTCTCCTTCGCCGGTCTCTTTTTTCCTCTTTGTGAAATTCTCCAGCCAGAATTCGAAGAACCATGTTTCTCACAGTCGTATCTATCGTAGAAATATCAAACATTTGTGTTCTTCAACATATCCTTCCTCCATCTCTCGGTCCCTTACTGTCGCGTGATTATCACAACGGTCTTAATCGGTCGAGGGAAAAGAAAGAAACTCGGAAGGGGTTTGTTGCGGTGAGAAATGGGCATAAATGAGAAACGCCTTACGGCGATATATCAATCGCTTCAACGATGAAGGTTGAAGGAGAACTTGGACAGAAAACACGACCTCGTTTCGGTAAGAATCTATCGCGAACACAGTAGTAGTGGTGGCGGTGGTGGTGGTGGTGGTGGTGGTGGTGCTAGTGTTGCTGGTGGGGTGGTAGAGGTGGTCTCGGTGGTGGTGTCGCCAGCGTGGCTGGCGCCGGGCGACTGGCACCAACTATGTGCTCGCGATATAGACCGTTGGAATAATATAACTCGGTTTGGGGATCGAAACTTAAAGGGGAGCTAGATAAATAGCTATAGGAAATGTAGGCACCGTTCGAGCGTGAGTAAAAAGCTTGGTCGCGGCCCAAGGGTAATCGATGCGACGGAGATTTACGCATATCGCCAGCAAAGCAAGGTGGTCGAGGACATCCGGCGGTCGCGCGATGTCCATGGGTACCCCCGAGAGAAGCAGAAACGCCAGCGTGAGATTTCGGTTGAAATGAAAAGTTATCTGATGGAGTCTGATGCGAGGGAAGAAATCGAACCCGGCCGACGTTGCCGTACTATAAATAATGCACGTAATCGATACACGTGTACACGTACGTTTGTCACGCGGGTTGCCTATTAGAATACCCCCGCGGGGGCTCTTCGCGGTTTTACGCAACCTTCGAAATACCAGTCGCGTGATTCAAGGTCGACAAATTGCCCGCTGATTGCTAATCAGATCATTTAAAACTGCGATCCTTGCCTCGCTCGTTGCTTCTCTTGCCTTTCCTCGGCCTTTTCTTGCAAGAGAATACTGAATTCCCGTTTAGGAAGCGATCTGACCGCGACGGCTTTTACGAAACTGTTTCAGAAACGTTGACAAACGAGACGGGGCAGATGAACGGTGTCTTCGAGAAGCTCGGGCAGTTTTACGACGTTTGTCGAGGCTTCAGGAAGAAACCCGCGAACTTTACACCCGGTGAGTGAAAGCCACGCGAGGAATTTGCTCTGTGCGGAAGAAAAATCTCACTCGACTCAGCTGGCACCCTCTGCTGTTCGGCTGGAATTCCGATCGGAGGAATTCAAGGGGGGGGTACACTACGATGAGACACAACATATGTTACTTGACGGATTCTCCGTTTCAGTTTACGAGCTCTTGCACGAACTCGGTGGCTATCTACCGCCGAAGAGCGCGGCACCGAGCGATATCACTCCCCTGATTTCGGCGCTGCTGGAAGTGAACGGCGCACCCTTCTTCGATTTATACGTCGATGTAGATCTTTACGACCGCACAAAGTCATCCGTATACCTTGATTTCCCTATCAAGCATCAAACTAATGAATTCCTTGCAGAGAGCCAGGTGATAAATTATTCAAAAAGGCTTCTCATACGTAGTCATATGTCTAAGCGCCTGTCGCGTTAAGCAAACGATGTTGTTCCCCTCAGAAAAATCGAGACGTGGAAAAACCGCGTAGAATTCGGGAGATTGTTCGTGGATTCCTGCCAAAGAATATGAGTCCCAAGGAACAATCGTCGGAGATCGACCTGCTCCTGCAATTTTGCTCATCGCTCGAAAAGGTGAAGACCAAACGAACGCGTGAGCGCTCGAAACATTATCGAGCGACTCGAATCGAATCGAGTCGAGTCGAATAATAACGATTCGTGCACGTGTCGTGACATTCCAGATTTATCCGAAGCACAAAGACTTGTACAACTGGGTGGATGTTGATCAGAGAGTTTACGTTGCTTACAACGCGACGTATCTTCAAGAGAGCTTCGGTTACGTAAGTAAACACATACGATGCCGATTCTCTACGAGAGCTGCTTTACTGACCGCGAACGTTAGGGCGCGAAGCGCGATATAATCGAAAGTTTCTCCGCCTCGTTCTCGAAGAGAAAGGAAAGGAGAAAGAAATGACTCGATTTCGATGATCTTGGGACAGATAAGATGGAGGTCGTTGCTGAACACAACGTTACACTACCGTACGAACAGTATCGATCTGCACGGCGATAGTAACGACACGAATCGCGTACACCGACCGCCGTCGTACAGCGCGTCTGAGGATCAGCAGATTTACGTTTACGTCACCGCTCCACGTTACTTCCGTAGCCTTGGCAAGTTATTGAACCGCTCGTCCAGACGGTACGACTCCTCATTGTTGTGCTCCTAATTGACAAATTCAGGGTTAACGTGCGACCCGTCCAGCTAACACATGTCGCAACGCTCTATCCCTCTAACTAAGGTGGCAGCGCGACTTCTTTTTGAGTTTCCGCTGCGCGATCGTGTCCATATCAGGAATTTCTCTTCTTAACCCTCTTGCGGTTCTATTTAATGGCAGAAATTAGTATCAAAATGGTTAAATCTTTTCTGCGGAGGAAAATATACACTTTCATGTTTTACAATAGTTTTCGAACGCGCTGACTTCAAATTTGAGGTTGTTGTGGCAAAATTCAAAATGGCGGATCAAAAATGGCGGACTTGAAAGTAATAAATCTTACCCCGAGTCAGATTCGGGACCATAGACATGGTATAGACCTAGACTGCGTATTCGAGGAGTGGGGGTAGAGCTCACGTAGAAAAGGATGCACTCCGTTTTGTTTGTGCGTTCTCTCTCTCTCTCTCTCTCTCTCTCTCTCTCTCTCTCTCTCTCTCTCTCTCACACTCTTGATGGAAGGAGAAAGGCACTGTTTTTTTATTTTTTTCCAATATAATGATCAATCTAGATCACCTTCAGCCTTCAGCTCACCCCAAGATATATACAGTTACAGCGGCTACACTGTCGTACATACATACACAGTCTGTCCCAGATACGATGAGACTGGTTCCATCAAAGTTCTTAGCGCAGCGACATTTATGAGTGAATGATGGTAGGTGAATGTTCTACCCTTCATCTACTTAACCTCAAAATTTGAGCGAATTCGGTTGATATTTCACTGTGGTTTGACATTTTATGTAAAGTCACTTTGTGTACGTCGGTCGAAAACCAACATGGAGCGAATATTAAATTCTGTTTTAAATTGGGTAAAAGTGGTGCAGAAACGTACGAAAAATGTGTACGGGGATGAATGCATGTCCCGTGCACAGGTTTTCCGTTGGTTTGGCCGATTCCGTGACGGTCGTGAGGACCTTGCAGACGATGACCGAGCACCGCCGCCAAAAACCACTCGCAATGAAGAAAACATCGAGAAAGTCAAAGAAATTCTTCGAAGCGACCGCTGTGTGTCTGCGAGACTCATCGAAGAGGAAACTGGGATACCGAAAAGCACAGTCTATCGAATTTTGACCGAAGGGCAAATGGAAGGTTGCACGATAATGCACCATCGCACAAAGCCATCATGGTACGTGAATTCTTGACCAAAAAAGGCATCATTGTTATTGACCATCCACCGTATTCACCTGATTTGGCTCCATGCGACTTCTGGCTATTTCCCAAACTGAAATTGGCGATGAAAGGAAATCGTTTCGATACCATCCCGGTCATCCAAAAGACTTCGACCGCCATATTAAAGGCCATTCCAGCTGATGAGTATAAAAAATGTTTCGAAAAATTTGTTGAACGTTTCCAGCGCTGTATTGACTCAGAAGGAGACTATTTTGAATAAACAAGAATAAAAAATCAAAATAATAAATTCTTTGTATTTTTTTTTAGACCAGTCTCATTGGATCTGGGACAGACTGTGTATGTTAGCAACTGGCCCTTCTTTATAACCCTTCCATCGAGAGTATGTAAGAGAGAACGCACAGACAAAACAGAGTGCATTCTTCTCTACATGAGGTTTACCCCTATCCTTGAAATTTGGGAGAACGCGCAGTCTAGATATATTCTATGTCTATGCTCGGGACTAACCGTGAGCTGGTTGATAATTAGCCGTAGACACAAAAACGCGGGAGATAAATTTCCCCGTTGGATACCGAATGCGTACTGGAGCTCATCGCGCAGAGTGTCATGCCGCCGCCTTTCTTTCGTGCTGACTGCACGTCAAATCTATTCTTCGATATTGAGTTGAAAAGTTCACTCGACGTTCTAGAGTGAGAGTATATTCTCTCTGTATGAATGAAGAGTGTCACTCGAGCTCGAGCGACTCGACTGTCACTCTACTCCTCGAGTGGAATTTCACTCGAAGCGACGTAGACAGCACATTGCGTATTCTTTCTCGTGTCAACTACTTCATATATTTATAATTGTGATAAATTACAAAGGATTATTCATAATGGATTGCTGTTACTCTACGCCACGGACACACTGTACGACATCGTCAATGTTACCGCTGTCAAGGACTGGGAAGCTTCTTGCTACAGATTGACCAGAGGCGCCTTTAGCGAGATGACCAGCGCGCTCTATGTGCGACAGTACACCCCGAAATACTTAGAAACTTTGGCCAAAAGGGTAATACATTCTTCCGTTTAACGAGTCCCTCGGCTGTATAATCGGTAAACTGTGCGATCGGTACAATTATATCAGGTAAATCGGAAAGTTCCGCCCATCTAGCGTCCAAATAGCTATAGCTAGAACTATCGTTAGCTTCTAATGTCTAAATGAAGCTTAATGGTTTGTTTTGACATCTGTCAATAACATTCAGTACATAAAGGTATACGTTTGCATCAATAACATTGTATTTTACTCCATCGAAAATGTCGAAATTTGAGCTAAATAAGCGTCATTCGCGCGAAGTGTTAATCTTTTGCTTCAATTGGAAGAAAATTACAGCTGAAGCTCATCGAATGCTTATAGAAGTTTATGGTGATAATACTCCTTCCGATCAAACATGCAGAGAATGGTTTTGACGCTTTAAAAGTGGTGACTTTGATGTTGAGGACAAAGAGCGTTCTGGACGGCCGGGAGTATTCGAAGACGAAGAATTGCAGGCATTGGTGGACGAAGACCCATGTCAAGACGCAAAAGCAACTTGCAGAAGCATTAAATTGTGCTCAGTCTATCATTTCCGATCGTTCGAAAGCCTTAGGAAAGGTTTACAAGGAAGGAAAATGAGTCCCATATGAACAGATGCCAAGAGACATTGAAAGGCGAAAAACCTGCATCTATGAAATTCTGCTTGCTAGGCAACAAAGAAAGGGATTTTTACATTGTATCATCACTGAGGATGAAAAATGGATTTATTTTGACAACCTCAAGCGTCGAAAAACTATTTGTGATCCCGGCCAGCCCTCAACATCCCGACGCCAAAGGGGAATATCCACGGAAAGAAGGCAATGTTCTGTATTTGGTGGGATCAGAAGGGTGTGCTGTACCACGAGCTGTTGAAAAGTGGTCAAACAGTCATAGAGGATCTCTACAAAGAACAAATGATCCGATCATTGCACGAAAAACGACTAGAATATGAAACACAAAGACAGCATAAAGGGATTTTGCTTTCATGATAACGCTCGGTGCCTCACTTCACAAAATCTGTCAAAGAAGCACGTTAGAAGCACTTCGCTGGGAAGTGCTTACCCCATGCGGCTTATTCACCAGACTGTGTCCCTTCCGACCACCACTTGTTTCGGTCGATGGCACACGCACTTGCTGACGAATGCTTCGATTCTTATGAAGACGTCGAAAAATGGGTCTCTGACTGGATAGCCTCCCCAAAGATGAGTCATTCTTTCGCCGCGAAATTCGCTTGCTGACCGACGGATGACAGGGAAAAAGTCATCGCTAACGAAGGACAATATTTTGATTGATGTACTTTTTCATTTTGTTTCTTAAATAAAGCCAAAGCGTTTCGCTCGAAAACGGACGGAACTTTCCGACTGACCTAATACGTACATACGAGCGCTTCTTTGACTTACTTGTCAGTCACGAGTGTGTGACCTTCGTGATCGCGTGACGTTCATTTTAACTGTATCACCGCTGACACACCGTAGGTCACAGTATTGTTCGAGCGTGTGAAAGAGACAATAGCCGAACGGATATTAATAAAATCGTGGCTGGACGATGAGACGAGGACGCAGGCCTTGTTGAAGCTCAATTCTCTGCGGGGTCGATTTCACGTGTCACCTGCCTTTTACGACGACGCTCTGCTCGCACGCGAAATGGCCGAGGTGAGATTGATTATTCTTCTCTGTGTACACATTGAATGTAAAAGAACAAAAAAGCCGATGCAAAACGTGGCAGATGTGTGTAGAGCGTTGAAAGAAAAATTGAATTTGAACAGTCTGAAATACTTCGCTTCAAATAAATGTCTTACTTCTAAGCTGAGTCAGGCGTGCAACTGCAAAGGCAAAATCTGTTCTTGCAGGTCGTAATTGACACCAATGATTTCTTCGCTACCGTTCTAAGGAGATTTCGTCAGATGCGGAAGTTGCAGAATCAAAGTCCGCTGCGAAGAAATACAACGGAAAAGTGAGGAAATTCATTGCTTATTTGTTTTTTTTTTCTTTTTTTACATAAATGCACAAATCATGAAAGAAATATGTCACTACTCAGAAGATCAAGCGATTTACCGATGATTTTTTATACACACACACACACACACACACACACACACATACACGCGCGCGCGCGCGCTTCTAGCGTCCACATACCGATCGACAGATTTATCGATACTTACAAGTTATAATGATCATTATTAAAAAATTGTCATTATCATGTGTTAATCTTGTTGACAACCTCAACTCTCTCTCTCTCTCTCTCTCTCTCTCTCTCTCTCTCTCTCTCTCTCTCTCTCTCATTCTCTTTGCGAAACAACAATTTTGGATCTTTAGGCGCCACTATCCCTACTCCGTACGCGCCTATTACGAATCCTCCACAAATACGATCGGTAAGTGTCCTTATCGTACGACACACGTCTCGCAGGCTCGTATGCAGCAATTTTGACAAATAATTTTCTCCTGTAACGAAAACAAAAGGCATTCCCTTGGCTATGATGACGTCCTGGGCATGGTCGTGGGATGGTGGGCCGGCTTATGCGGTCCACGCCACCTTGGGATCGATCGTCGCTCATGAGATCCTGCATGCCTTCGATTTTCATCGTCGCAGGCTGCCGATAGATCCAGATTTGAATACCGACGAGTGGCTCTGGATCACGCCGAACTCCTGGAAGCGGCTGGAGGCTAGGATAGAGTGCGTCGCGAGGCTCTACGCTAGGAGGTTCTGGCGGAAGGTTCAGTTCTACGGGAACGACGTTACCGTGCAGGTAACATTGCACACTGATATTCGTAGCGAACAAAGAAAGATAGAGGAGAGGTGAGAGCCCTTAAGCCTTGTTAAAAACTCCTTTTTAATTTCGGCGCGCTTTAAGTTCGACTGGAACATGACGAGAAACGAGAACGTCGCGGACATCGGAGCTCTGCAAATCTCCCACAAGACTTGGCACACCTTGACGAACGGGAAGGACCGGAGCCTTCCTGGCCTGGAGGGGCTTCGGCCGAGCCAACTCTTCTTTATAAGTGCCGCTCAGGTGAACAGCCAATCGTCTTCTCGCATCCTTCATTCTTCATTCGATGCGGGTCATATCCATTCGTGCTTCAATTCATATTGACGATAAAGACAAGAAGAAAGTGAGATGTTAAGTTGACCAGTCGTTCTGCTTCCAGATATACTGTGTTAACGTGACTGCCGAGGCCTACGTCCTGTCCGTCGAGCTCGACTATCGTACTCCTCATCCCGAAAGGTGCTTGAAACTACTCTCTTTTCTCTATTCCAATCAGCAGGAACTGAAATCTGCCCCTCCTTTTTTTCCCCTCCTCCGCCTGTTGCTTCTAGATTAATAAATCAATTAAATTTTTTCCAGGGTGAACGGTATAATGATGAATTCGCAAGCGTTCGCGGAAGCGTTCCGTTGCCCGCTCGGCGCTAAAATGAATCCTCCGAATAAATGCATCGTCTGGTAATTGATTATTAATGCATTTGTTGATGCATGAATATATGTATGCATGTATATCATCGAGCTATATTTCGGTGGGTTCGACGTTAACCCGCTTCGTTCTATCTCTCTCGCAACTTCGTCACGAATCGTTTCGAAATTGCGTTTAATGCGCATTATCTTCCTTGTTATCTCATTGTTTTTCTTTTGTCGTAACGACCTGTAAAATCTGCGATTCTACTCCTCGATCTTCACGAGGCTGTTACGAAAACCACCGAAGTGGCTGCGCATGAAAGTGGAATACCGTTAAGTACAAATAATCTCTTATTACGTTTTACTGACTAAACTTGCGTTAATTATGCGGATGTATGAAGTCCGTCCCATCTGAGACGCCTTAAACGATTTTCTGTGACGATAACGTGGAAAGACACTCGGGCGCGAATAGATTAAACAAACGTTGTGTTTAAGAAAATGCCTTAAAACAAGTTACGCGATGTACTTTGTACGCTATTGCGGAGATCGCAGTGTTCTAGAAAGCTATTTTCGATCGATCGAATTGCGATCGATGTCGCGCTTGATGCGAACTATATGACTCTAGTGTATACAGGGTGTCCCGGAACGATTCCGTCATCGCTCATGAGGGCGTGAGAACGAATTTGAAGTGAACGAAAGATTCATTGCCATTTTGCGATATTATCGTAATAATTATCGAGATATTAACACTTTGCCGGCCGCTTACTTCTCGCATCGCCTTTACGCTGCCGCCGGCGAATTTCGCGCGGGTTCTACTGCTCGCCGACGGTGATATTAAAGAATGTCAAGGAAAGACAATCGGGATAGTTAAAACAGAAGCATAGTGGAAACATCGTTGCCGCGCTGAACCGAAGTCACACGTACGTGCACAGCGGCCGGCAAAGTGTTAATATTGGAAATCGGATAAATGAGAAGAAGAGAGAGAACGCGCTGAGATGGCGGTGGAACGTGGAAGAGCGCTTGAACTGCTCGAACTATAGCGCGGCTCAATTAATCCAACAACGGTTGTAGAACCACACGACAAAGGGAAGACCAACACGCTGCTACACATGCTCACATTGCCGCTTTTGCGTCTCACTTAAGTTCATATCGACAGCCGCTACACACTTTTGTGATTAGGAGATCGCTTTGTGAAATAGCAAAAGTAGGTCAAGTTGAAACCGTAGCGAGTTCTGTGATAAAAATCGAAAGAAAGAAAAGAATAGAAATCAAGGTGAGCTGCAGATTATCTCATTGTTTTCTATCGTAACCGATTCTATCGTAACTGTACCAAATCCGAAAAAAATGATATCGTTTTTTCTATCATACTTTACCGTTTCCTGTTAGAAGAATATTTAATCGTCGTCGGTGTATGATAGAATTAAAGGACTGCTGTAAATTCATTCACGATTGATTCTCGAGCAAAATTGTGGCAATATTGTTCTGAGACACCGTGTATACATTTTGTATACGGCTTTCAGTTTTAAGAAAGGAGAGAGCGCGTATTCTTATAAGAGGTATACTACGTACTATGTATTTGCGAATAATATAGTAATATATATTTTCTCGTAGAAGCATCAGAGTGATGAAGAAAAAATCTATATATTTACATAATCTACGTTTACGTTGTACTTGTTGATCATCTCAACGGACGAATATCGTCTTTTCGTATTTTAATAGCAATACAATGTTGCAGAGGCTTCATACAGGTGCAATTAAATATTAAATCGAATAATCTGTGAAATATTAGTAGACGCCTTTTATAAAACGCATAATAAACATTGCAAAATAGTTTTAAATAATGACAATTCCTGTTGCTCCGCATTTTTGAGAAACCCCTCTTTGTTTATAGCGACAATAGGAAGATACGCATTGGGACGGTAAATAATTCGTAAATCTTACATTTCCTCGTTCTCCGCTGTTGTATTGACACAACATAAATAAATTTTATTACAACTTATAAAATTATTCCAATACGATGTTATAGAAAAGTTTTCTGTTTGTTCACACAAAGACAAGGACAAGTCTGTGTCCTTGGTCTCTTACTTACTTGGTTCAAACACTTTTCTTTCGATGCAGTTTGGAACGCAGCCGATCGTTCAATGAAAGGGAACCTGCTTTTAATTCATTTCCAAGATTCCAGTTCCCTCATCGGATCCTTTCGGCTGTGTTTCAAACTGGATTGAAAATAGGAAATATTTAGATCGCTTTGATATCGAATACATATTCTGTTGCCGCAAAACTCGTGTAGCATGTAGCGAAAGAGAATTGCTATCGCAATTCGCATTAATACAAGCGTAAATGTCGATATTATTGTGTTAATTCGTTAGCTCCTATCAAGCGATATTCTGCGATATTATTTGTCTTCGCACTATTTTCATATTTGTAAACATATCTAAAAGTCATACTCAGGTTTTCCCGATCTTACAGTTTCCATATATTGTGCAAACTGCTCGTACGAAGATTTGTTTTCTTTAACAAATGGCTGCTCCTTCATTTCTATTATCCATCTCATCTGAAACGGGACGAGAGAATATGGTGATTAACGAATAATTATCGCATAGCAAACGCGTAAGGAAATATTAGGAAATATAAACACTTAAGGAAATATTAGAAGAAAAAGTGTTCACAAATTTGAAGGCAAAGTAATGTCATTGCACGAACAATGTTGCATACTTACGAGCTTGGGAAATCTCTCTTTATCAAAATCCGCTGCTTGTTTGTAAAGTAGCGGCAGAGCTTTCGCTTTCTCAACCCACGGCCACATTAGAATATCTAACATACCGGGACTACCTCCTGGAAATGGAAAATGGATTTTGCACAAAAGTATAATAAGGGAAGAGAAATTAAAAAAAAAAGGAATAAATAAAAATAACTAAAAAAATATGAAAAATAAAATATGTAAAAATAAAATCGCAGAGCTGTCACGAACCTCCGAAGAAGGGTGTTTGGCGAACATTAAGCTCTTGTTCGTATTCGTCTAAATAATCCATAATCTCTGCCACAATCTCTTCGAGCTGCCTCTTGTCCTCATCGTATATGCATTCTTTGAAAATAACTGCAATCTGCAAGATGAACAATAACACAATTATCGAAACAAATCATTTGTTTTTGAAAATCGATTAAACGACATTATCAGCACTTTAGAGTAGTGATCCAGCAGTTCCAGGTCGCGGCTCTTTGTTTCTTCGTTGTACAGAGTCGGTTCAGGGTACTTCTCGTCCAGATAATTCGCTATCACAATAGAATCCGTTAATGTTTCACCATTCGAATCTACGTAACTCGGTACTGTGCCCTTCGGATTAATCTGAAGTCAAAATATTTCTTACAAACGACAGGATATACTACTCGTGAATTTATTAATAGTCAGCAACGATCGAATTCGTACTTCAAGGTACCACTCTGGCTTGTCCTTTAAATTAATATTGACAATATCATGAGGGATGTTTTTCAAAGTAAGTATAAGCCTTATTCTATGAACAAAAGGACAATATGTCATGCTGTAGAGGCGACTTAAACCTTCCACGTCCGCTGGTTTATCAGATCCTGAAAGAAAATCGATTTCCTCCATAAAAATGAGGGATAAAAATATATGTAACTATTTGTTGGTATTTTGCTGTCATATTACAGCATATTATCATATCATATTATACACATAATATCCTTTGCACAATTATTAAGAACGATATAATTTTTAAGTCGCAAGATTAGAAAGCTCAAGCCGATTTGGCTGGATGTACGGAATACAGCTGTGGGGCTGTACCAAAAAAATCTAATGCTAATTTTATTCAAAATAAGGTTATAAAATAAGGTTCAAAATAAGAAGAATCATTAAGGCAATGACCCATGGCAATGACAGTATTCATAAAGACCTAAACATAAGTTCAAGTCAATGAAGTAATCAAATAGACGGCAGCAAAGCACAAACAGAGACTTCGCAACCACAGCAATTCGTATAGCATTTGTTGAATTATACAAGAATAATACGGAGACTCAAAAAGACTAAGCCATTAGATCTAGTTTGATAAGGATGTATGATATAATATATGAAATATAATAGATAACAGAAATATTAAATAGAATGACTCACTGTGATTATACTATACTATTAAAATTGCTAGATAAGCGTTGATTAGTTGTGGTAGACTTGTTTAAAAAAAGAAGAAAAAAAGAAAGCAGGGCGGGGGGAGGGAATATTAAGTAACTCAAAGTAAAAAAAGTACATTAATGTTTCTTATTTAATTGTTAACTCTTAACGATTGTAGAGACAAAAATTCATACGTCGTTACAAATAATAAACGTGATAGATTCGTTTTCTATTGCTGAATTGGTTCGTTCCTCATCACGTGACTGCGCTCTTACATTCGTCAATAATCGTTTGCATCAGTCTGATTCCAGTAGTCTTAGGTACATAATAGAAAAAAATGTAATATTTACATTATAAAGATATTTACATTATAAAGATATGAGATAGGATGCGTCTTTAGAAAATTATTTTATAGGCGTCTAGCAAATTATCCGATAGACGTCTCATGATCACATATTAATTTTTTATTTCTTTTTATTAACACGTATGAATGATGGCCAACAAAACGTATTATTAAGCATTATTTGATAAACGATTTTTCCAGGTGCAAGTTCTTTATCTTATATATGAACATGTAATAACGATTCGCTAATAAATTGTGTTTAATGTATATTAGAGAGCATTATTTGAGCATATATCCTTCGTCATATAAACATAATTATATAACCAAAATCCTTATCAGAATAATAAAATCTGCGATATAAAATTTTCAACCTGAGTTAATATGTACTTCTACCTGATATGTCACTTGGATGAATGCATTACTTACCAGCTGCTAGATGCGAGGAACTCATTTCGATAATTTATTCGCAAATGAAGAAACAGATATTGCAGAATATGAAACTCGAGATTCGGCCACCGACAGGAACTTGACGAATCGCGTTGCAAAAGGAAGATAGGTCTCGTAGAGTTTGATCCAAAATGGCTATTCCAGCACCGTCTAACACTGGTTCTATCGATCGAATTTTCGCACACATGCGTAAATAGGTCGCCGATCACGTGAGCAACATGTTATACAAGTTAGAGACGTGCGAATCAGGAATTTTTATGTCGAATCGAATCGAATCGAATCTCATTTTTTAAATTCGAATTTGAATCGAATCGAGTCTATAAAATTTCATTCGAATTCGAATCGAATCATTAAAAAATTTAACATAACTATTAAACATGCAAATAACGATGGAAGATTTTAATATAAAAGGGAATATTGATATTGTAATCATCTTAAAATAAAATATTTAAATATTTAAAATAATTTATAATTAAGTTATTAATTATAAGTCAAGTTAAGGATTCAAACATACAGATCCAGATGGCCTGATGGTTTTGTAGCTGATATATTTGATATGTATTTGAATGTATTTGATTCGTATTCGAATCTTCGCGATGCGAAATTTTCGAATTATTCGGATTCGAATCATAGGGATTCAGATTCGAATCGAATCGAATTACATTAGATTCGATAGTTCGCACATCTCTAATACAAGTAGTTAAAAAGAAATCTATCGAATAACAGTATCCATTCTCGATTCGAGGGTACTTTGAATATGTATAGTTCACGCCAAGAGACACGTAGTTTTATTTTTTTACATGTGTGCGTAATCGTGTGTTTAAGTGGTGAAATACCTTTTTGAAATAAATCGACTTTGGTATTCCGAAACAAACCAATCAAAATTTTCATATATCTAAAATAACAGAGACTATCGATATATTTTTCTGTCTCGAAATCCTTTCACAGTTACTGATAAGTTTATACAACATTTACCAGATATAAAGATTTAATTATCTTTTAAAGATATTAACAGTCTCATCAAAGCAATCATCAAAAGGAGATTCAAAATAATATCACCCACATAGCCAAATTTGTTAAAACAGATTTTGCGCAGAGTCTATTATTAGTGTCCGCTGACAGAAAAATAACATATCGTATACAGAATCTGTTAAACAGACTCTGATGATAGATTAGCAGCAGAATGCAGCAAAGAGCCCGTCGACAAGCGCTGACGGCAGATTGACGGTGCGCAATCTGCCATCAATTTGCTACAAAGTCTGTTAGTAGGCCCTGTTAGCGGTCTGACGGCAGATTGGGGACGCAGATGTCTATACATCTGTCGACAAATTCTATTTCATCTGCCAATCGTTAAATTGCGTACAGATTATCGGGTATCTTCTTATAATTTAATAAAAGTAGTAAATTAAAAATGGGGGAATTAGTAAGTGAGTGAATGAGGGAGGGACGCAGGGAAAGAAAGAGAGAGACAGATACGCAACGTGTTCGCACGTTATGCGAGTATCATTGTATGTACCAACTGACCGCAACAAGTATTTCATGTAAATACCCGCATTTGGCGATGCGTTTGACGCCACTCTTGCATACTTCCTGTATCTGGCCAGGAATAAGCCAACTATTCTTCTTTTTATAATTAAAAAATTAGGTTTTGGACAAACTTTGGCAAAGGAAAATTCGTCTTAGAATATTGCTAGAGATATGCTTTCTTAATGATATATGGGTTATTTTGAATCAATATAGGATTGCACGCTAATAACTCTCATTTGTTATTCTTTTTTAAGTTTTAATATAAATTGACATTCGGCGGATATCGAGCCTCGAACGTGTATAACGACGGACGATATGTATATACTATTATAATATATAATAATATATTATAACTAGATGTCATTATTTCAATAGCAGCAGTATCAGTTGCAAGATGACCATATTTAAAAAATGTTTTAATATAGTTTCTTATTAGATTTAAGTCACGTAAAAAATCAATATTTATAAGATAAAAGACCTTATTATCTAGTATATGATTATAAAATCGATATAAGCATTAGTTTTTGCTTTACAAAAGACAATTCATCGAAAAACAATATGTTTACGATGTGGCACTATGTACAGTGTTATATATACGTATTTTATATTTGTTATGAATTAAAGTCTTGCCTCGCAGCCGTGGCTACCTTAAATTGATGACATATAGCTCATTTTTTAATTACGTAATGATACCACATTAATTTTATAGCTATTTATTGATCGTTAGAATAGAAGAGAAGTTTTCGAAATATTTTGTAAATTTTCCCATCCCCGATTGCGTCATTTGATGGGCGCTTTTTTTTGTTTCAGCATACTTCTCATAAACTTTGAATATGCATTTTTTCGCTTTTTATACCACCAATTTAAGATATTTCGCCGCGGCGAGGAAACAAAAATTTGTTGTTGAAAATCATATCTTCTTAACTACTAAATTTAACTAAATTCTTAATTAATAATTATTTAACTAATAATAATTATTATTATTATTAACTAATAATAATAATTTGGTTCTCTGTGGAATGAGTGTGTTGATGTCCATCTAACTGAAATACGCATAGTCCATTATGTATACTAAGTAGTTTCCATAGGAACGGAGGTAATTGGATCTCAGGATGTATGAATTTCCTCCAAATTTAAATGAGTGATGAAACGCAGTCTTCGTTGTAGCGGGTACTTCAATCTTCGTATGATACATTCCACTTCGTTTTTCATCATATCACCGACGAACATGTACTTTACATGATATCTATCGTAATTGTTAAGAAAAATATATGTGTGCGTACTCACATATTCCCATATGCTAAAAATGCTTCATGATAGAACGGTTTATCATAAAGGATACAACAAATCACAAACTGAGTCCATGTAACGTAAAAGTGGCTGAGCACGGTCGACTTGTTCTAACATCTCGTACAGGCAGACTGCAAGTTCGACCACACATTGTGGCCGCTCTGCATTGAACCTTGCCAATGTAGGACCAATCAAGTGACAAGCATATATCAATTGTTCTTCGCTATTTACAACAGGCTGAAGTTTTTCCTTGATGAACCTATTGAGAAAGTAACACAATTTATTATTAATTTTGAATATAATATAAATGTACAATATTGTGATACAAATGTACAATTGTAAATTGTATAAGATACACCAAATTATAATCGTCAATCGTATTATATATTTCTTTAATTCCCGTACTATTGCTCAAATGTTCGTATGATTAATATGTGCATGAAGACTCGCTCACCGAGGCATCGTTGTAATCTGTCCTACACCAGCATGATGCCAAACTGAATGTGCCAACGCAAGCATATAGCTGTACTTGTTTTCTAGCAAGCAGTTGTGCGTAGTATTGAAATTGAACATTTGAAATGGTGTCAAGTTATTGTACTGCCAATTGGCCAGGCCGGGGCTGCTGATAGTCTCCACCAAACGGTCATGTAATGCTGACCAATAACATTCTGGCAGTGCTGCCAGCAGTAAACCAACGCAATTTATCCACAAATGTATCTCGTCCGACGGCACAACAGTGTACCTAAGCAAATGATACGGAATGAATAAGATTGTATGAAAGTCGCGCAACATCTTGTAAATGTTCGAATACATCATGTTTTCTCTAATTCGAAATTTTCCAAGTCCGTACTATCATAGATATGAATTAGATTTGAAAGAGAAACTATACCCTTTAGCGACAACGTCCAGCAAAGAATTAGCTACCAGATTCGGTGCAACTGGAACCGCCATGAGTTCCACACAAGTGACATATAATGCGTGCGCCGCTGGATTTGGAAATTCATTAAATCGCCAGTCGGTAGCAGGGAAGTGAGCCGTACCTGACATTGCTTTAACATACACGTTAGAGATATTTTTAGATTATTATGAAATTATAAAATTACAAAAATATGAGAATCATCATGTGATGTCTTTTATAAAACTTCGTTGCCTTACTTTCCACGATTCTGCGTACAAGGCGAATGTAATAGTCCAACTCTGGTATCCAAGTGACCACATCGTCTGCAGAACGCGTCATGTACATTTGATAAGCCTCGGAGAGAGCCCATCCTGGTGCTCTGATTTCTCGTAACGAGCCTAAAACGGCAGAAACCAACCGACGCTTCAATGGCGGTCGATCTCGCAACTTTCTTTCGTAGTAATGTAGCGTATTGTAAAGGTATGTGACGGGACGATCTAAAATTGAAAAGCCGTTGTTTGTCTCCAATAATCAAACAGGTTCTCCTATTTACATTGATCAATGAGCAGCATTTCTATGCCACACACAAAATGCATACGTACCGTGAAATTTATATAAGCAGCCCAAGTGCTCTAATAGCGTTTCCAGACTTTTGATGACGGGCGGTATTTCTAAATATCGGTGTACCACTATGTCAAAAACCGGTAGAAAGCGTAGACAAACGTTACCAAAGTACACGGGTAAACTTTGATACTGACTGGGTCCTCCGCTGGTCTGCTCCATGATGCCTTCCGGAGCGAACTTCTCCGGGAACTTTCTGTGAAAGGCAAGATGCTTTTCGTGCCAGTTGGATTGCTTCCAGTGTTCCGGTGAGTTCTCCTTGACGAATTCTTGCACACGGTTCCTGAACTCCGCGGACTTCAACAGCAACAGCTGTATAATGAAGAAGCACACCTGTGCTTCGCTACCTTCCTGGGTCCTCAATGCCAGACACAACACCAGTCTGTCGATGGTCACTATGTTGTATTTCCAAATCATGTCGTTAATTGTGTCTACGCACTTGTTAACGTGCTGACCACCTACGCTATTGGCGAACTCGAAAACCAAATAGTCGCAGAACTTCCTGAGATGCGCTGACAGCGCTCTAGCACCGATTCTCTCCAGGATCTTGTACGCAATCGGGCTGATACGATCGATCTCGAGTATCATTTTCCACAACAAGCAAAGGAATAACGGAGGTGTACCAGGTACAGAGAAATGCGCGATAATGTCATTCTCATTGCTCATCGATGCCCAGTTCCTGTACTCCTCTTCAACCGCCTTCTTAATCTGCTGTTTGTTCTCTTTTGCTACACTATTCTGCTGAAAAAATTCACTCAACACCGGCGGGAAGCACTCGAGAGTGTGATAAGCCCAAGAATGCGGTGTGTTTTGCATAATGGTGTTCAGTAAATCCTTGCACCAGGTGCCGCTAAGAGTTTCAGCGCCTGTGCCTGTTACATGCATAGACCGAGCCAGTGTCAACACTAACGCGCGGTTGAGTTCCTCTGATTCTGCGGAAACCAGGGTCTTGGGTTCTGACAGAAATCTAGATAGCTGTGGCTGCACTTCTGCCGAGCCCAATCCAGTGATCAGCCGTAGAGCGGTGCTCTCGACACACAGATGCAATTGCGTCTGATTGGTCTGCGGTACCGCTGCAAGACTATGAAGATGCGAGAGTAGTTGTACTCTATAGTGTGGCTGAATATGATGCATCCTGTAGCTGAACATTTCCAACAAGGTGTACAGTGTTCCCCAAGCGTGCGATTTGAATACAGTTGGTAACAGTTGGCTAATAAATCCTTTAATACCAAGACTTTCTATTTCTGTATACACCAAAAGTCGACTGTAGGTCTCGACCAACGCCGGCGCCAATGCCATGTTACTTTTGGATTGCGCTAACTTTATTACATGAGTGACAATACTGTGAATCAAACTCATTTTTGAATGTACAGTTAATGAATCTAAGATAGACATCGACAACGGCGTGGTCGGACCATTCGCTAGTGCTGCGTTATTCTGCAAGGTCTGCAATGGTTGTTGTTGTTGGCCTTTTTGTGTGCCTAGAATAGTATCTACCAAGGCAGCCATCGGTCTACTGAAGTACTCTTGATTAGTCGAATAAGCATTGCACAACAATGCTATACGATAATCGGAACCCATACAGAGAGAAGTATTAGGCATGACTAGATGCTGCAGGAACTCGTGATGAACCTTCAACGTGTGTGGTATAGGTCGGTGAATGTTGGAATGTTCCGACTGAGCTTTCTTCAACAAATGAATCCATATGCATGTGATAGCCATTTGATGAGTGCATAGTGCTTGACTGTAATCCGGAACAGGTAAGGGCTCCTTTTCCGGATAGAGAAGATCGTACAGCTTTAGCACCGGTAAGAAATTCGACAATGGGTTCCGTTGTATGCTCCCGGAGATAAATTGCAGGAGAACCCACATTAAATGATCTCTGCCCTTCCTCAGTTCTCTGCCGGCCAATTTATCATGTATCGCCATAACAGTGCTCGGGAAGCACGCAAATTGAAAGAGAACAAAGTAGATGAGTTGTGAGGACAAGTGCAACCACACCCAGTGATTGGCCACTGTACCATCCGTTCCCTCAGCTGGCAAGGTCTCGTTTTCAGATCGTTCCATCGCAAGTATAACGAGTTCTACCAATTGTTCCTCCAAGACGATGCATCGTTGTTTATGCTGTTACACGAATAAAAATATATGTAAAGTACTTGGAGAATGATAAATATATTTATTGTATGCAATGTGAAAGTTATAATGTATATTTAATAACGGAACTTTACTAAATAAACATCAAACAAATGTCGATTATTAATAAGAATATAGTTCATAGTTCTGTACCTGTTTTTGTAAGCCAAGCATCGAACAGACCATGTCTCTACTATAAGGTTGTTCTAGAACATATCTAAGCAATTCTGTTTGAGGTTTAAGTAAGTCTGGATCATAAGGCAAGTTTCCTTTCAAGGAGAACTTCAATGTGGTAGGATCTAACAACCATGGATTAATCAAATGGTCAGCATATCCTGTGTGCTCAACTACTGGTAACATTTTTGAATGTCCCACTATAGATACCATTTGCGCTGTATTTCGGAAACCTTCAACAAAACTGGAGAGAAGTTTTGCCAATTTCTGAAACAGGAGTGCATTTTAAGGCTTGAAAATTCCATGCAAAAATGGACTGCATAACTTGAGAACGTAAACATTATTTACCCAGTGAGGCCAGTTTTTATTGTCAGGATACGCTTTCTGTATTTCATTGACAATAAAATAACTTGGCAGTAAACACGAATTTCTATCGAAAATATGTTCAAGAATATTCTCCAAAGCCTTTAATTGTGGTTGTACTGATGCATCTAATCGAGCTGGTATAGTTTGGGCCTTTTCTTTACATGCCTAGTAAGAGAGATGTTAAGCATTTTATTGTCAAATCGTTTATATAAATTCCATTGGACAATTATAGAGAAGTCCGATCAGTAAATTTTAAATAATTATAAATTATTTCATAAGAACTTGCTTTCATGATTTCTCTAACTCCTTTGTAATCAACTCCACCAATAATACGTCGAAGAACAGTAAAACATTCAACCCAAAAGTCTTCCAACTGGTATTGCAATTTGTCACAACTTAAGATACACTCACATACTAATCTGAAAAAACATTTATGAAGAATAAGTTGATGATGTAAAAAGATATTGACCAAGTTTTTAATTATCACAAAATATACCTAGCAGGTAAAACACTTGTTTGTACTAAGTTCTCTAACAATGATAGCAATAATTGCAATCGTTTATGATTAGTCATAACTGCTGCCATAGATAAAAATTGACGAACAGCCGCTTCCTGTTGTTCCTTTGTCAACCCATTCATAGCTGTTTTTAACTCATTTTGCCATACTGTTATTTTTTCATTTTTATTATTAGGATGATGAACTAGGACACAGCTGAATGCCTCCTCTATTGCTTCTACTTTCTGAAAGATACAGTATATATTATATATTATCTACTTTTAAAAATGTTATACAAGTATAATTTTTTAAATCTTAATCTTAAATAAACATATTGATTACAAAACATATATGGAGAAAATTGTTAAAACTAACACGTTGACTGCCAACTACGAGATATCTCGTAGGTTGTTTACTTGCCCAGGACGCCTATTATGAGTTATCTCGTCCCTTCATTACTTGCCATATTTGTACAGCTACGAGGAAACTCGTAGCATAATGGTGTAAATATGAATAGATGGCCTCAGGAAAGAGAATAAAAAATGTTTAAAAAAAAAAACATTTTTTAAGCTTTTTGATTATTACTATGTACTATTATTAAAGTTTTTAATAATATAACATGATTAAATCAAATTGGCTCTTTAGATCGGAATCGTGAAAAATTCCGTGGCAGTCAACGTGCTAATATTCCATCAAAATAAAAAATTATAAATATGAGAAAAGTACATGTCTAACAATAACAACTGTTGGTACTTACTAAAATATCATTTATAATATTAGCAATTTGAGTTTCACTGCCCATCTTACTAATTATAGAATATTTTCAGGGTTACAAGTCTTGATTAAAAAATGTCCATTCCATACATATCCTAAATGTCTAATTTATATTGGTTCCACATAATACAACCAATTTTTACACCTTTTTACACTGAAACTTTTACAATTTTCTTCCGTGACATACTATTATTTTTCTCTTGTATATTATTATTTGTATGATTCCTTTTCTCTGTTTTTCTTTTTAAATATTTTCATTTATTTTTATGTCTATTATATTATTTATGTCTATGGACATATTCCGATATTCACTGCCAGTACTGAAAATATATATACAGTCTGCTCTTTTTAGCTGCACTACTGAACTAGTGTAATAAGTTAAGCCAGCAGCACACGGTGCTTGTTTTCGTGCTGGATTGCTTGCTGGATGAAAATACTGCATTCTGATTGGTGCATTTCCATCCATCTTCGGAAATGCACCAATCAGAACGCAGTATTTTCATCCAGCAAGCAATCCAGCATGAAAACAAGCACTGTGTGCCGCTGGTTTTAGAATGAGACAACTATTTTTTCTCACTTTAACTTATTGCACCAGTTCAGTAGTGCAGCTAAAAAGAACAGACCAATAGGCCACGTTCCGATATTCACTGCCAATATTGAAAATACACAGTTTATGTCACATATATTGTAGATTTTCAGTGCTGGTAGTGAATATCGGAACGCAGCCACGGCTATATTCAGCAAAATATACTAGAATAACTAGAATTTCGAATTTCGATCGGTCAAATGTCTATCGCAGTCTGTCGCATTTCCCAGCTTGCTGAACTGGTGCTATAAGTAGAGTGAGACAACTATACTTTTCTCATTTTAGTGTATGTGACACAATTATGTATCTTCAATACTGGCAGTGACAACGTTCCGATATTCACTGCTAGCACTGAAATTCTATGGTATACGTGACATAAACCTATGTATTTTCAGTACTGACAGTGAATTTCGGAACGCAGCCAGTGAATATCGCAACGTAGCCCGTGGTTGCGTTCCGAAATTCACTGGCAGTACTGAAAATCTATAGTATACGTGACACAAACTATGTATTTTCAGTACTAACAGTGGATTTCGGAACACAGCCCGTATCTATGTGGGGGGTCGAGTGGACTCCCGCTCGACTCGGCTTTTCAATCCCGCACAGCAAGATGAGAGATATAGATTTACAGGGGCACGGCACCCGTACCCTGATTGGATGTGTTCTCCTCGCGGCGCTCAAGGACAGACCTCGAGGGCCCCCAGTGAACCGACTCGAAAGACAGAAAGAATGTTACTTTATTATTGACTACACTTGGCCTCTCGCACGGGGCGCGCTCGCTCGAGAACAGAGGAGAAACGGACACACAATGAGCGCACGCTCGCAAAACCGCAGAATGCTCGCTCGTGAAGACGTAGAAATGTTAGTTCGCGACAGGGCGTATAAACTCCTCGTATTTTAGGGGTGACGGAAGTGATTAGTTCGCTTATTCTTTCGGTACGTAGGCCGAGAGCAGCACAGTCGATTCCCCACTACCGTTCGTCGGATGCCATATTGGACACTTACTGTTTACCAGTTTTCTGGAGTAGTAGGAATTTTGTGTATTTTGTGCGATAGCAAGTGATAGCAAGTGATCATTAATTTAGTGAGAGGTGTTTATTTTCAGGTTATTTGCAGGTTATTTTCAGGTTATTTACAGGTTATTTACAGGAAGAAGAGCCAAGTAAGGAGAGAGAGCGTGTGGAGATAAAATATTTCTATTTCTGTAAGTAAATATTTATATGTAAATATGTAAATCGGTTTAAATTATTTCACATTGTTCGTTGATCTTTCCTAAGGTCTCAGATAGCACAAATGTTTTAAACACATTTGACTAATATTAAAAGACATATTAAAAGCAAGACGTCTCTCTTTTATATGCTTTTAGACGTATCTTATTGTAGATCGATGTTAAGAGTGAGTGTATGAATGCTTATGTGCAGTGATGCACATATATGGTGCAGGTTGTTAGTACATCAAATTTTTTTAACCACACCAAGTATATGGCAGAAAAGTACCTGACAGTCCGCAGTCTGCAAGTGGGACAGAAAAAATTTGATGCATAAAATTCATTGTAATTATTTTTCATTGAACTGTAAATAATTTCATTAAACTACATATATATATAATATATATACCATTGTAACTAAAAAAATATATATGTATAATATGTTTATAAAAAATTGTATACTGCTTATTTCAATAAAATTTGCGAACCCTATTATACACACATATACACATCACAAAAAAATATATATATATTGAGTTGAATAATAATTAATTTCTTAGTTTTCAGGTACAATGGAATAACTGTATGTTTATGTCATTATAATTTCATGAAATAATGTATGTGATATATTGAACTATTGGGTTCCTCACAAAATGCTTGCGTTCATTAACATCATTGATTCATGTTAATTCTTTGTATAAAATTAAGTTTTGAAAATCACTGAAAAAACTGCAATGACTTTTTGAACAACCCAATATCTACCATCTCTCGCATACATTGCTTCATGAAATTATAACAACATACAAGTATTGTTTAATTTTACAAAAAAAATACAAAATTACTTGCCAGATAGCATCGAATCTTCAGAGAATGTTCTTAGAACGTTCTTAGGATGTATGAATGTCCTTAGAACGTTCTTAAAACATCCTTTTAAGATTTGTGCTATATGGGTCATTACACGCTTAATATATATATATATATATATATATATTTATATGTAAAGACTGTTCTTTTTCGCTGCACTGCTGCACTGATGCAATAAGTTAAAATGAGAAATATATATTTGTTTCACTCTAACTTATTGCATCAGTGGAGCAGTGCAGCGAAAAAGAACAGGCCTTATATTTATACATATGTGTACTGGATTTAAATATAGCGCGTATCCCCACTCTGTATCACGTGACCCATTTTAGTTCCACCAGTTCCGGTACGTATCATGATGGCGCTCCAAAGACCCTCGGTTTCTAAGAGGGGAGTTTGTACCCCCTGGTTTGCGACGCGCGCAAGAGGCGCGCGGAAGCTGTTCCGACAAGGCGCGCAGCGAAGAAACGTCGGAAACCGCGAGAGGAACGTCCGCGCACGCGACGAAAGCCGAAGAAAAAAAGGACCGTATGTCCGTGTCGCTACGCAGGGCGCACGTGACGCTCGCACGAACACAATACCTCGCAGTGGTCGCACCGAGGTCGACACGCACAACGCGCGGCAACGCAAGTAGGAACCACGACCGCGCACGTGAGCACACGGGGCGCGAGGCCGACGACCGGCCCCGAGTGGCGAACGAGCGGAAAAGCTCTCCGACACGAGATACGGCCGCGCGGCACCCGCGATGCGAAACAAAAGGCACAGCGCGAGGGAACAGATCTCGCGCTGCGAATGAAAAGCGAGTCGCACTGCACTACGACGCGGAAACCCGAAGACGGCCGGCGGCGCGTTCTGTCTGTCGAGAAGCCCGCGATGGCACGTCACACGCACGTGTCTCACCTGAGATCAAATCCTTCGTACACTTTGGAAACGCGCTCCCGCTCTTGGGAGAGACATTCTCGCACTGATAACACTCACGTGGCACGAGCGACTGTTTTCACTGCCCCGGGGCGGCAGCGGGTCCGCGCTCCCTGCGGCAGGTGGCGGGAGCTGATCTTCCGCCACATCTATAGCACGGCCAAAATTCAAATCAAATTTTATTAATTCTACGCGTGCGTGAAATATTCCATTAATCGGACGAAACGTGTGAATTTTCCTGGATACGTATCAAAAACACACGAAGAGTGAGTTGACAGCACAAAGTAATTTGTTTGAGTTTCAAATTTACTTTAATAATTTATATCTTGATGTTATATAATATAACATAATTATATAACGTAATATAATAAACAACAATTTTAAAATTTCTATACACAATTCTAGAACACAAATAAGAGAGGATTTTTCGTTACAATCATTATCTATGGTGAAAATATTTTCTATGGTATAAATCGCATTGTTTGAGTATGAATTGTAAACGGATTGTTATATGCGCAATAAGTACGCCTTGTCGTGCTTATACACTGTATTCTTCACATGGACGTTGTGAGTTTCCACAGCACGGCTAAAGCTCAAACCGACTTTTATTAGCCCAACGAAACATGTGAATTTTCGTGGAGAGATATCAGAAGTACAGGAAGAGATAGTTGGTGCACAATTAGCCGAGACTTGAACCAACTTTTAATAGATCGATAAAACCAGAGATTTTTTTATAATTTACCACCAGATGGCGTAAAGTATCGGATCTGCGGGCGGGTCAGCGATTATTTCGGAGAATAACCATTAAGGATTCGTTACGAACCGCCGCTGTGATGAAAAATTGAGATCTTGAAGTAACTCAACAACGAGTCAAAGGTATTTTTCATGTTCATGTAATACTATTCGACGTCTGATTAGTCTCACTTGTTTGATTCTTCAGCTGTACGATGTAGCAACAAGTTAGAACTTCTTTCTATTTTCGAATACCCAAGCAAAATAGAAAATCATGATAACATCAAAATGACATCGAAATGCCGAGAAAATGATCGAATCATGATGGAAAAATAAGTTTTCCTCATCATTTTGACGTCATTTTGATGTCATCATGATTTTCTGTTCTGCCTGGGTAATAAATCTTAACGACTTGTCGGCGGTATTTGTTACATTGATTGGGTTTCAAAATTATTGATAGCGTTGGAAATCTACAGTATATGTAACATGAACTATAGCTTTTCAGTGTTGGCAGTGAATATTGGAACACAGCCATTATGAACAAAAATAAGACGTCATTTTTCTCGATGGAAAACAGACAACATCCAACGTGAGCTGTAACTTTTGGTGCAAATGATGACAGTGATGAGATAGCCTAAGAAGTATTGTACAACTTGAAGTCTCAAATTTGTAAGTTTATTAAGGTTCTTGCTTCCTCGCGTGGTTATCCATCTTGGTTAATGACATCACAAGCAACGAAGCGTATACACGAAATTCTCGCGAAGATCTCGTCGAAATAAAAACGCACGTTAATACAAGGTGAAACTTCCTCCCAGACAGCGCAAACTTTTAAATAAAAGACGTCTCAGAGTTTCCGAAATATTCTATAAATTCGCTTGATCGATCGACCACTTTACGGACATAACTTTTTGTTTCAATGTACTTTGCAACAATGTCTAGCGTGTATTTTCTCGCTTCCGACGTCGTCAATGATGAGCGCGACGAGAGAAAGAACTCAGGTCGCCTTGATAAATTGGAAGAAAACAAGATTTTTAATTGACGAGTCGTCCTGTTTCTAGGTGTACCGTATTAACATGATTGTCGAGGCCTCCTCCATCTCCATTGAGCTCAGTTACCGCACTCTTCATCCTGAGAGGTATTTAAAACTTTTCTTTCATATCGCAACTGAAAGTCTCCCCTTCTCCTGCAACGAAAAGTCTTATCTGTATATAAAGTATGAGAGTGATGTTTTTTCAATGAGGAGATTTTAAACTTTCTGCTGCGATTATTCTGCAAATATCGTGTACCGATCGTATACTGATTCGCTTGTTTTCTGTAACTGATTAAAATAAACTGATTAAAGTCAAGAATTTGTTTTCGCCTGAACGTTGAATATAGTTCAGTTATAACAAAATCGTTCCGCCACACGTATGAATACGGAGATTGTGGTGGAAAATTCGAACTTGCAAGCAGCGCAAGTCTCATTTGCATGCGATTTTGCGCCCTCGCGGCGCAGCTCGGCAAACTTGGTGAGAAATTTTAACATTCAACAAATCTCAATTTGTATTCGCGCGACAACATAAGAATTAAATTAACTTTACAAGACTGTATTAGAAGGGGGGAGGAGGTGAGCGGCGGGTCACTTCGTATCGCGTCGCTTCATCGACGCTTCCTCGGGGTTTATGGACGCGCGCGCCGAAGGGTGGCTGGGGAGGCTCACGACAGGGGAGTTCCCGAAGGGGAGAGAGACCCGGTGCCGCGTGTCGGCGTCAAGGTGTCAGTATGCGATCGCGCATTCCATGCGGGAACACCTGTTTGCTCCGGCGGCTGCATCGGCTTGCGTGCTACGCGGTCGCGCTCGGTTCGCGGAATAGAGACAGAGAAAGGGTAGAGATATAGACGGGAGAGCGTGAGAAAGAGAGAGAGAGAGAGAGAGAGAGAGAGGGCAAGAAAGAGAAAGAGAAAGAGAAAGAGAGAGAGGGGGCTGAGAGAGAGAAAGAAAAATAGACAAAGAGGGGATTAATATCGTGAACCCCAGGAAGCAGAAAATTCTTAACGCAAACGTCGGCAAGTAAATCTTTCCGAATATTACCGAAAGCAGCATTCGTTTTCAGAAGGGTCGCGTTCTCGAAAAATGCGCGAGAAGTGTGACGTAATTGCGCGAGACTTGTACCTTAGTGCATAGAAAAGCGCCGTTCATAGAGAAGCTGTTAGCGCGGGAACGCTGATATCATTAGACGGTAATAATAACGCGTTTCACGATTTTACGCGGGAAATGTGTCACTCCCAGTGAGGTGAGAAGAGATATCCAGGAAGAGCGTTTGTTTCCGAAAGAATCGCGTTTTCAGCGCGTTCGTCGCGTTTTATCTTCTTACGAAGTACGAAGATATCTCGAGAGAAGCGACTCCCTGTCGATACATATTCGGACTGATTCTCGATTGAACACTTCTCAAACAAGAAATACTCGACCGCTTTCAAGCAGACAATCAGCGTGGTTAAGATGAGTTGAGATACGAACGGAACTAGTCGTCGAGGTTGAGCCTTTCTCCGCGTAAGCATCGTTCATTCGCGAACGTACGTACGTGCGTCCGTGCCCGTATCCCGTTGAAGCCAAGCAGTAAGCGGATGAATACCGTTCCTGAAAAGCTAAGTTCCCTGATCCAAGTGCTTTTTCCCTGGGACCAGAGACACCGAGTGCTTGGAAAAGGAGGGAAGGTAGAGGGTGAAGGGGGTGAAGAGAAAGAGAAACGGCGGGAGAACGGAGTCCGCGAAACTTCAACCACTTGCTTCTCAATTGTACACGCGTAAGAGCAATTTTGCCTATTAAAGGGTCCTTGCAGCGTAAATGTTTCTACGTGTCCCGATATATACACACTACATATATATATATATATATATATATATATTAGTCAAAAGTTTAGAATCATCTACTGATTTTTCATAAGAACGAAACTTCTTAATTCAAGATATGATCTGTGTTTATTTAACAATGAGATCTGCTCAAAAGAAAGAAAATAATAGTTTATGGTTAAGCAACAATATATCAAATTACAGTCGAACGTATAAAAAAATTCGCTCTTATGAAAACTCTTATGAAAACTGAAATAGGTGATTCCAAATCAGCAATGTATGCACACACATACACATACACATACACACACATACATATCGCGAGTTTAATTCTGCCGGTGTCTTCTGGTTTCTATTTGAATGTTCCCTTTGCACGATGCACTATCGCTCCATCGATGATTGTCGCACAGAACAGGTCCGTTTGGTTTTGAGTTATTTATCCCTGGTGTACACTCGTCCGACTGGATGATATGAGTAATACGAGTAACGTGTCGTGAGCACGGCTCGATTCCGTCCACAGAATTCAGCGGGGCTACAGCGACGGGTCAGGACGGGTCAACGTGACCTGACCGCGGGTTAATTGGATAAGTAATTTCGGACGTAACGAACATGACGACATACGGCCACTGTTCTTTAGAAGCCGTTTCAGCATGTAACGCGTAAGATCGCTGGCATTTTCCGCTTTATTGTTGTTGACTTGGTAAACATTACCAGGAACTCGAACATTCGACAGTTAATATTCAATTTATAATTCGTGCAGTGACATAAAAAAACAAGTGGACTTCGCGGTCGAAAATACGCGGTCTGGTAGCTGAATACTTCAAGCTGTAAAATATCTCTTGGAGCTCGCTGACGAGTCGATGTTTACATACTTGACGCATATTTCGTACGTCATCAACAGGCAGAACAGCCTGTTAATGTAATTACGAAAAGATTAAAGTCGAGCTCGAGTTGACGAAGTCAATTTCAAAGTTGTATGCGGCGAATTAGTCGCCCTAATTATCTCGGCAAAATTTCGCCGCTTTTTACTGATCCCTCGTTCGTGTTAATGACTATGACAGAAACTAACGCGCACCATTAGGAAATAGCCGCGAACTAATTGCGCCGCGCGTTAGAGCTATTCTGTCGTTTAGTGTACAGTCTGTAAAGTAAGAGCGTGCACGGGTTAATGTGTAGAAAAATTTATTTTTAATGATTTTTAAGTACATGGATTTGTTGTACTCCATGAGAAGAAAAATGCTATATCATTAATAATGAGTTCAGTCACCACCGGCATTGATAATTGTCTGGCATCTCCGAGGCATACTTTCCACTAAGTTGACTGCGTATTCGTTCGGTAAAGACCTCCAAATGAGACGAATTTGTCGTGTCAGCTGCTTCAAAGTGCACACTCTTTTTCCTCGAAAGCTTGTGCTTGAGATATGCCCACACATTTTCAATGGGATTTGCATCTGGCGACTGCGATGGCCAATCAAGTGTGACGATGCCAGACTGCTCTTTCCACTCGGTGCAAAACTTGCTCCGGTGTTTTGGGTCGTTGTCTTCCTGTAAGATCCAGTCCTCGTTTTCTTTTATGAAGCATCGTTCAGCAGTCGGCAACAAACACTTCTCATAAATTTTAAGCTTTAAGGTCGGGTTCCGCTTAAATAAATTCACAATTTTTTTTCCATATTCGGCGTCACTTTGCCTATCGAGCCACGTTCTGGCAAGTCATCGACATTTTTGATCTTCTTATATTGCTGAACCCACTTAGCGACGAACGATTTTGACTTTCCTATGTATTCAGCAGCCACTGCATATGACATTTGTGGTCTTTTGGGGTGGGAACAAAGGAACACAGCCTCGTAGCGCGATGCGTATGCGGCACTCATGGCGGTTAACGTGTTTCTCAGGTTAGAGTTCGACGCCAACTGAATCTTTTGTGACAAAGCATTCATGACAAAGATTTCATCTATCGGCTCACAAAAAAACTAGAACGATATTTGAAGCCAACTGCCATTTATGCCGTGCACACTCTTACTTTACAGACTGTACATCCAGCGCGATCAATTCCCGGCCGCGTGTCGTTGCTCGTTCCGTACGACGCGTACGCGTTCTCGATCAATCGGTGAGACCACGCCGAGAGCGTATCTTCGCAAAGCGTATCTTCGAAATGATCAATTCCTAACACTGCTACGAACGATCAAGCGTCTCGTCGTACAGAGAATACTCCTTCGCTCGCTCGCGCAGTTTGACTGAAAATTACCGCGCGAGTATCATTGCCGTGACAAAACGTGAAACGAGCGAATATTTCAGTCGGCTAGAGTGAATCTACTCCCATATGACGATGGAATACGTTACTACTTGCCCTTTATTCTTGAATAAAAAAATACTCACTCGACGATCCAGAGTGGAAAAATTTACTCTGTACGAATGAGAAGCCAGCGAATTTGATCAAGAGACTCGGCTGTCCCTTTACTTTTCGAGCGGAGTTTTGACAAATACAAGAGGAAGCGGAAAGCTATACCAAGAAGAAAAAGGAAAAGAACGAAAATAATGCTGTGATGAACTTGAGGTGATCTCAGATATGAGATTGAAGACCACGGTCGCCCTGTAATTTCGATTAGCTCTCTGATGCACAAAACTCGCAAGCTCGCCCACGACAATCGCGCGACTTCGATCACGGCAGCTTCGGGGGGGGGGGGGTAAATCATCAATGTTATGCTATAATTAGATCCCCTCTTCTCTTCGCTCTCCAATACGCGGGGGATTACCCGTTTGTTGTAGGGAGCTCCGTTTTCAAAGCTAAGCGCAGGCAGGTTACGCAGCAAGAAAAATAATAAGTAACGCGACACGTTCGCGCCGACTCCGCCGGAGTTCTTCTATCTTTGTGCGTTCGCTATCGCGGAAGTTCGCGTTCGTCAAAGGCGACGGCCTTCGTTCGTCGTGTATCACGATCGCCCTGACGAGCGTAACGCGCGCTGTTAAGAGCGCGTTATTATGAGACTCGCGCATCGAGACCCGCGTCGGAGACCTTTCAGAGACGCGAGCGTCTCTGACAACGTCGGTTAACTAACCGCGCTTAACCGGATTTCTCCGTTAGCCGAGAAGCGCACGGGAGTAAGCCCGAAGCTCGCAGTCGGGGTAAGGTCTCGAAACCGGTATAATTGGTAACGCAATCGAGCGGAGGGAGGTGCTGGATCGTATGCTGAATTATCAATCACTCGACCGCCGGATTTCCGTTTGTCATTGCAAATTGAGCTAGCTTTATCGATTATCGGTCGTTGAATATAATTGCGCGTTAAATTGTTCAACGGGAAGCGCTCCTGCATATCAAAGACGAGTAGTTGCGGCTTCGCATTCTGAGACACGCGAGCTGAGAAACGTAGTGCTTGCGTCTCGGAAGGCACCGTGTGTAGCGGAGAATTTCACTTACAATCCGAGTGTCGTGACCTAAAGAATGAGATCGGTTGTCGGACGATGTCAGTCCGCACTCCGAAATTGTCGACGCATCTCGTCTTGGATAGAGAGTCTCATAGGAAGAGAGTGGCGAACTGATCACGTGACCAGGTCTCTGCCGATTCGATCGAGGCACAAAGTCTTCTTGACCAATCAGAATATCGACGACAGTCGACAAGTTGATCAGAAAGACGACAGGTTGGTTTTACAGTGAGTTTTAAAAACAATCTAGGTATTTTATATTATGCACAAGACACAAAATTATGTAAATAATATATACTACGATTCTTATTCTATGTAAATCGAAGCGACAAATATTCTTTCACAATTAATACTTATTACTTACGGATATCTGATTCTTATTGCTGTTATTAATTCGTAGGCGAATATCTGTGCGACGCTGACTCGTCGCAACCTTCTCTAATGATTGACAGATGTATGTACGTCAGATTGCTTTAAAAATTCACTGTAAAACCAACCTGTCGTCTTGCTATATCGATGTTCTAATTGGTCAAAAAGGCTTTGTGCCTCCATCGAGTCAACCAGAGACCTGGTCACGTGATCAGTTTGCCACTCTCTTCCTATGAGACTCTCTAGTCTTGGATACCGATGAAGAGACAGAGACAGAAAGAGGGAGAGAAAATGAGAGAAGGTCAGATGCTCCGAGGCACTGTCCTTCAAGGGATCATAATTGGATTTCGCTTGGCTGCTTCCCGGTGTACACGGCCGCGAGGGACGTGGATGCGTAATAATTTATGCCTTGCCCATCGTTATTTAACTCGCCGAAACATTAAACGGAGGGGGACGTGTCGCGAACTGGACACACCTCAGTCGGACGGATCAGCTGGAAAAACGTACAAACGTCCGCGCGAACTCCGGATCAACTTTGACAAATTTCGGGGACGAGGGTAGAGTGTCCAAGACGAGATGACTGCGCTCGCAGTTGCGTATTCCTCTTAGCCGTCGGCATCGATTTATTACTTGTGATTTTTACGGACTTTGCGTCTGTACTTTCGCAATCCCTTTCCCGGAGTGAGACTCGCAAACGTGTCCGTATTGCTACGGCAATTCCTCTCACGAAAGGAGAGAGAGAGAGAGAGAGAGAGAGAGACGCTATTAGTTTCAAGTAGAATGTTCCATGTAACGGAAGCTCTCAGTGCACGGAATCTAATTAGCATCGAAAAGCGAGAGAGAAAGAGCTTCCGTCCGAGCTCGATGGCTGACCGATAAAAAAAGACGAAAGTTTCACGCGGCCGGAATCGACGCGATGATTTTATCGAGGAGAAGGAGAGAGAGAGAGAGAGAGAGAGAGAGAGAGAGAGAGAGAGAGAGAGAGAGAGTGGAGGCAGGAGAGATATTTGAGAGAATGCTTTTCTTTCGAGCGACGCGTCGTAAAAATTTCAGAAAACGACCGTGACGCGTCAGCTGACTGGAAGAATCCGTTTCGGCCGCCGCTAATTAGCCGTCGTAGAAAGTTCTCTCCCTCGCCGCCCGCCGACACACTCGGCCGATCTAT